TTCTGGCCAGGGTTAATCACCATACTACACATGAGCCAAATTGAACTGATTTTTGCTCATTGACCAGGGCTTTAACAGGAGTATGCATGGAGAGTACACGTCTTTACTTGCCAACTCTCGTGGTTTAGTTGTGAGTATCACGCCTAGGCCGTATGCTGATCATATGAAGATAAACCCGAAGGCATTGAAAGCGAAAAACAAAATGACCACTTGTAAATGAGCAAAACTTACCCCGTAACAAACCAACTACGCAACAGACAAGCCACGTGAACGACTTCGTAAAACGCTAAAACAGGGGCACCCAACGACGGTTTCCTCCAAAATACGTTGAAAACACTTTTTAGGCTATCCAGAGTACTTTAAGATCTCTTGAAATGCGTTCTAAGCGGCGCTACAAAATTTTTATCTGTTGGGTCATCCTAGGGAAACGTAAGTCTTTTCGAAATTACAAGGGCTTCAGTTATTTTCCCGAAAATTTTAGGTGCAATTTAACTTTTTGCGAAAGTGAGAATTTTTCTGATTCCTCTCTCCGTCACATTTTAGAATCCGAAAATTTCAGGTTTCCTTTTTCTAAGAAAAATAGTGTAACCTGGATAGTAAAATACGAAAAATTATACTTCAGAAAATCGTTGGGAATTTATTAGATAAGTTTCGAAAATTGTACATGAATGGAACGTTAAAATAGAAATTTTTAGCTTTCCTCGAGCAAAAGAAACCTCTAGGCAGTATTAATTTTGCTTCTCCGAACAGATTTTTCCAGAAAACAGTCGTTGGGTGTCCCTGCTCGCAGGACATAGCATCTGATAGCATTCAGAGTCATGGATGCAGAGTACAAGAACGAAAAGGAGACTTCACTAGAACTCAGACTAGAACCTGTAGAATAGTGTCTGATTTAAGACTTCCAACTCACACCCTGCGAGCAGTGGTTTCTCCGGGCCGGACGCTGCAGCTGACGCCACACTATGAAGGGAGAGAAACCACTGCGAGCATTCCTTTGAACCTTGTCCATCGAACAACGACCAGGGACACCCAACGACGGTTTCTTCCTAAATATACACTGAAAACACTTTTTAGGCTATCCAGAGTACTTTTAGATATCTAGAAATGCATTCTAAGCGGTGCTATTAATTTGTATCTGCTCGGTCATCCTAGGGGAACTTGAGTCTTTTCGAAATAACAAGGGCTTCAGTATTATTTCCCCGAAATTTTACGTGCAGTTTAATGTATTACGAAGAAGAGAATCTTTCTGATTCCTTTTTCCATCACATTTTTGAATCAGAAAATTTTAGGTTTTTTTTTTTCTAAGAAAAATATTCTAAACTGGGGAGTGAAATGTGAAAATTAAACTTCCGAAAATCGTAGGGATTTATTAGTTGAGCTTCGAAAATTGTGCATGAATGGAGCGGTCGTCAAGAAATTTTTAGCCGTCCTCAAGCAATAGAAAATTCTAGGCAATATTTGCTTCATCTCCTAACAGATATTTTACAGAAATCAGTCTTTGGGTGCCCCTGAACGTCAACGAGAACGGAAAAAAAGCAATAGGTTTAGATTAAAAAACAAGAACTTTATAAGTGCATCACGCTTTTTTGTACATTTCTTTGCCGTCACTGCACTACTACGACGCGAAAATGCCTCGTTTCGATCACGTTTTGTGGAGGCATAGTACATGACACCGGGGTAACTTTCGCGCCGGGGTGAGTTTACTCCGGTTCCTTCTCATGGCTCTATATTTGTTTACATGATACTACCACAAAATTGCATGCCAGCGCGAGTCACCCTGCAGAGTTCACCCCGGTTGTTGTCCCGGGGCGAAATCTCGCAACGGTATCATGTAAGCGCGAAACGACCACCCGTTTCGGTGTCAAATCGCCGGTCTGCCGGCAGACTGGAACGGGTAGCGCACGCGTAATGTTTGCAATTTTGAAACACACGTGTATTTTATGAAGATGCAGTGTACCTCCAAATAACGAGATATGAAATGACCCAGTCATCATGTAAACGCCATACGAAATTAGCAAAAATCGTTGCGAATCGTCTCGTGCAACATCACCGTAAGGGTATGTTACACGGGACCATTTAAGCGCAACACAGCGTTGCAATGTTGGAACAATGTTGCACTGAAATGTTGCAACGCTGTGTTGCGCTAAAAATCGCCGTTGCGAATCGTCATCACCTTAAGGGCAAGTGCAAATAAGACCCTAGACCTTCATACAAGCCACGGAGAGAGGTAGATAAGCGAAAGGCTTAGATTAGCAAAAAAAAAAAAGCTTGAACGTGTGTCACACTTGTGCATCTCCTTGACGTCATTGCTCGACTACGACGGGACACTTTGCATTCTCCTTAATTACGTCGAACCCAACTTAGAGCACTTGCCATTTGTACCGAAAATCCGGTAAATTCGGGGAGAACTCAATCCTAACGATTCATCCCTGAGAAGTTTTTTCGGAGAAAAACTAATACCTTCCAAAAATTATCTTTTTCCCACTTTTGCCGGAACGACCGAAATTTTCTGATCCATTTGTTTGAATTATTAGTGCCAGGCTTCCGCTCGAGCCGCGAAAAATTTACCGGTATTTTGTAAATGGTACACCTGGAGCGCTTACCATTTGTACGGAAATTTCAGTAAAAGTTTTCCGTCAATGGTACTTGCATTTTTTTCGCACCCAAGATAGGAATGGGATTGAGTTGTAACATTTACAAAATACCGGTAAACGTTTTGCTTCCTCTCGGGAGGAACGCTCGCACTGGCAATCCAAACAAATGGTACAGAAAACTTCTGTCGTTTCAGTACAAACGGGAAGAGGGTTATACCGCCCAAGGTATTACCCATTTCCCGAAAACACTCCACCTGGATGAACCTTTCCATTTGAATTCTCCCCAGAATTACCTTATTTTCTGTACAAACGATAAGCACTCCTGTTTTTCAGTGCGAAAAAGATACCATTACCGTTTGACGGAATTAAAATTTTTTAACGAAATTTCGTACGAATTCGGAATAAAGGTGAAGTGAGGCGTCACTCAGTGTGGAATTTCTGCACTCGTTCACCTCAGACGTCATTTCGCGGGGAAAACAGTAGTGGCGTCAACTGTTTTCTCATGGCTGGATCTCAGTATCGTTAATACTTTTTCTGCTAAAAGAACAGTAACAGAGGTCAAGATAAGATCGTGGCTCTGTAAAATCCATCTCCCTGATTAAACGCACGCCTTCGCATACTTCAGTGAATCATACAAACTTCTTTCCCGGATTTGGTAGCATTCTGGATACAGCCGCAATTCCAAAGGCCAACATTCGAAAGTATTTACTAATCCCCAGTTACTGCTATTCTTTATCTGAACTTCAGGTACCTCATTGGTACTTAATTTCGCGTTTTTCGCGATTGTAGAAATCACGAAATTAAAGACCCGCGAATAAAAAACTTCGTGAAATTTAACAACAACATATACAGGATATGTATCGAAAAGTACACATATTATTTACTTTGTTCAATTTGCTATGAAATAAGGCACGTTAATTTATAAAGATTTCCAAGTTACCTGAAAAGTTAATCTTTGAATATACCATGTTATGCGTTTTGCTTTTTCAGGTTTATCTGCTGACATACTGTCTTGCCAAATCACGAAATTAAGTACTAATTAGGTACAATTCAACTCGAGAAAAATTCGCCAATATTTGACAAATTTCCCAGGGTTAAATGAATTTCAAATTGTAATACTGTTCCGATGGGGGTACTCCCTATGATGGCCTAAAGGGGGAGGCTCCGCCCGAAAGGGGTACCGTTTGACATTACGTTCTAGAAAATACCAAGCAGGCGAATAGTAGTAACTTTTCGACATATTTTATGATTTCAGTAACTGATGCAAATCTGCTGACTCATGCTATGTAAACATGCCCTAATTAATTATTCATGAATAATCCAAAAACGTAGAGAACGTTCGAGAAAGTCACGCAACGCATGAAAGCAATTTTACTACGTAACACTCAACAAAGACAAAATGTCTTTGTGCAGCATTTTGTAACTTTAAATTCATCATAAAACAGTTCGAAAGGAGGGCTCACTCGTGAAATGTTTTTCAACACTCGAGGAGAAATTTCGTGTCTCTGCGCGGCCACGAAATATCCTCTATTTATACCTCGAGTAATTAAAGGCAGGAGCTCCTGTTAAAGGCTAAACTCGAAGTGATCTCAAGATATCACGAAGTAGTCCGGTCTCATTTCGTGATAGCCTACGAAAACATCCGTTTCTTTTCGCTGGCTAATTTCGTGAAATAGTTGAAACTAAGCCGAAAAGTCACGAACTTGCATTGCACGCCCCAATCTTGTCCCGAAACTAGTGCATCATTTCATAACTATTTTTCAAATCCCAAACTACTCTGATCTGACGGGTCACACAGGTGAGTCGGTTCAAAGCTAGCCTGCGTGGCATCCCCCTCTCCTTTTTCCCTTCCTCCCTATCCGCTACCCCCTACCCCTTTCGACGCCTGCTACGCAGGCTAGTTCAAAGCCCGTTTTTAGTGTCGTCACGCAACGCTCCTCCCCACCACCTTGTGGGGAGGAGCGTTGCGTGACGACACTAAAAACGGAAGCCAAAATAATAATTCTTTTTTCCTCGAAAAAGTTAAAGAATAAATCAAAGAAATCGAAGTGATCTCGGGATATCTCGAACTAATTCGGCTCTCACTTCGTCAAATAGCCGAATAGAACCGAAAACCTACAGACTTTGCTTGCCCAATCTTGTAAAAAAATGGTAACTTTGATACTCTCCGAAGCGTCGCGAATCCTTTACTTCGCGCTCCCCCGAGGTAACGTCAATAAAGCAATATTCGTACCCAGGCCTGCTCATCTGTGATGTTATCCCATGAAAAGTTGCGCGAAGGGTTGCCATTGCTCAATATTGACGTAATGACAAAGTCAGCTATATTTTCCTTGTGAAATCCTGCTATTATGCCATACTGTGTGTGATTACACTTCTCGTACTGAGAACAGTAGAACTGCCTTCAAAATGAAGCCACATAGCGAAAACGGAAACACATCAGGCCCGAATTTCAGCGACGGTGAAGAAGCTGAAAATATGTCATGGAGTTTGTCGATCACAAATGTGCCGAACGATGTTTATGACGATCAAACTACGAAGGTAAGCAGTTTTTCATTGCGAAAATAGTTTGCTTAAACTTTTCTTATTGCTTTTATTGAAACTAATGGCTTTAAACGTTCTTGAAGCTTACGCTTTATACTTACATGTGTTTGCAAGGAAAGTTTTAAAACAGCTGCTAGCAAGCTTTCCAGGTCGGGGTGATTCGAATCTCCTGGGAGAATGGAAATAGGTTCGAACAATCGGGAAGTTCAATAAAAATTATGATCGAAATTAGCAACTTCAGAAACCTCGGCCACCTCGAAGCGATATGTATCCGTAGTGTGATGGTCAAATGGAAGGTTCAACACTCTCCCCTCCCCCCTGGGCAGTTCATTGATCCCTACGAAGGGGTGGGGAAGTTGAACTGTAGCTACAATTTCTTGTGCCATGCAGAGGCTTTCAAAGGGAAAGATAAGATTGTAGGTTCTTGGCTGATTGGTTGCGAAGCAAAGATCTACACAAGCTTTGCATTGAATATTTGGAAGATATTAAAAATTTTTTTTTTGGTTTTTGTGATTGTTGTTTTGAATATGAATATATTAAGTTGCATAATAATAATACAGGTGATTAATAATTGCTTAAAAATTGATAAAGGTCAATAAGTAAAAAAATAATTATTACCTTGACTGGCCATATGTAATGCCTATTAGCGGTTTTCACAAAACGTCACCAAAATTCAAACTAAGGAACTATCGATTCTTCTGAGTTTCTGCTTTCATGAGGTATTACAGCACCTAAAAACCTTTATTTACACAAATTTTTGGTTTCAAAGGGTTCTTCGTTTTGCGATAGATGACGCTTGAATTTCCAGGCTTTTGTGTGACGCAGCATTTAGCTGGCGGCCGGGAAAGCTCTTAAGTGGGTTAAAAACATCACTGATTTTTTGAGATTTTGCTATCTAAACATTCCTTGTCTTAGAATAAATACTACTTTAATCTTGTAAGAAAACACAAAAACGGATGTTTCTGTTGGTTTCCGGGGGCCATATTTGTGCCCCTTAAAGGGACACCATCATGGTGTCTCCATACAAAGCCTTGTAAATTTGGGTGAAACGTTTTTCTGAATATCTCGCATATCAATTATCGCACAGATCTTATTCTTGGCGAGGCTTTTTGTATATTTGTCTTCTTTCATTTCCCAGATCTGGACTTTCTGTATTGACTGGTTTGCATGTTAATTTTTGACGGCATGACAGTGAAAACACAGAATTCAGCCACTTTACACAAGAGTTTTATTTGCATTGACATATGCCACAGTGTTTCTTGGTTTTATTTGTACTGGATGTGAATCATTTGCTGTATTCATAAAGTTGTTTTTCAACAGCTGAAGGCAGGAAAAAGCTATTTCTATAGCTATAGAGTGAATGTTATAAGTGAATACAAAACATCAACATAAGAAGAACTTGAAAAGGTGAAAGAATTTAACAAAAGACTAATTTACATTTTTGTTCGTAGTTGGTCATAATCAGAGTTCGCAGTGGCGAAAGACTTATTCACTTCATCAGTTGATATGCGTAGAGGTTTTAAAGCCTTCTCCAACAAATTCTTGCATTCTTCTGTCATTAGACCTCCCATAATGGTACGTAGATGAATTATGACAACATATAACACAAAAAAGAAGATAAAAAGAGCAAAACGCAGCTTTGATAAGCTAAATTCACTGTAAATTCAACAAAGCTAAAAAATTACAGCCACTTTTCTCGCGACCGCTGACCCAAGCAAAGCTACTACAGGGTGAAAGGAGGTGAGGGCATTGGATTACATTACATGTACCTAGAATGGATTTGTGATAAGTCCTACATCTTATTTCATGTACAGTGTTGTATTTTGTTGGATGCTTTTCTGTTAAAGTGGTTGTAGGTCACTGAGTTCACCAGTTTTTTATCTGCTTACCATAATCTTGATGATTTTGCGTTGCTTTATTTTTCAGGAATTATTTGAAAAACTGTTCTCTCCTTATGGAAGTAAAAATAACAGAAGCTTCATTTACTTGCGAACTTTTCACAGAGTACGAGTAACATTCGACAACGAAGAGAAAGCCAAGGAAGCCAAGAAAGATCTTCATGGGCAACTTTTCTTGGGTTATGAACTTGGGGTCTTTTTTGTTCAGGTGATTACTAAGTTGTTGTTGTTGTTGTTGTTGTTTTTCTTCACATGTTTGTGGCTGCTTTCTTTCTTTAGGGAAGGTGCAGCTATTATATCATGGTTGGTGTAAGTGAGCCAGTCAGTAAATATTAAGTAATTATAATTTCAGAATAAGAATACATACAGTAGGCCAAATTTTTGTTGCAAATTTCTTGCACCATGATTTTTGGGCCAGTTAAATGCTACATACTTTGGAATATTTTATTTTAAGCAGATTTCTAGCTATTGCAAAGCAATGAATGCCAAAATGAGTGATTTTTGGAGTTTATTCCGGAAAATATGGTCCAAAATACTGTCCATCTGAGTAAACTTCCACAGGAAACCAAAATAATACTAACAAAAATTTAGTGCAGTTGTTGTTGGGTTGGCTTTAGCAGTAAAAAATCCCTTTCATATTAAGTACACAAGGTAAAAAAATCGTATTTTGTATCATCAAAACCTTAATTTCTTCTGAGTACAGCCCAAACTACATTGTAAAAGAAGTGTGTTATTACCTTAAAAATAATATACAAAAAGTATACAGTGGAACCCTGCTTTACAGACACCCCCTTATTACAGACACCTTGTTATTACAGACAGTTTTATTTGTCCGTGGGGAAAGTGCTTACATTTTCTCTAAATTCAACAAGCTTAATATGGACTCCAGTCAATGTGGACAACAGACACTTATTTCTTGCCCAATCAACAAATTCTCATACATGTAGAAAGCCAACCTCGCTAATTTGGACACTTCATTATCAATTGTGTGCTGTAAAAGACCTTTCCTTTTTGAAGGGAAAAAATCCTACAGTTGCAGACAGCAGCATGTTGATACTCCCAGTGCTACCATACACGAGATAGAATGATTTGTAGACGTCAGTTTTTGGCAAGTTATGCAGAGAAGGGTTTTGATTGAGTGATAATTACAAATGAGTTATTTTTAAGTGCTGCCATGGACTTAAGCCGCATAATGGCAGCTTTGTGAAGGTTAGAGAAGTTTAATTTGGCGATGCTTATGTCCTGTTTTATTTCTTTTTCTTTGGTATTTTGTCCTAGTAAAAAGGGGTTTTTTGACTTTAATAACGTGAGCCATTTAATACAGACAGCCCTTTAATACCAACACTCTCTGTTGTCCCTTCAGTGTCTGTATTAACAGGGTTTGACTGTATAATTATGTAGTAGTTATTACGGTGAACTCCCTTTGTTGCAGACACTCTTGCAACTTTAAATTATTAGTCTCGCTTGCGTAAGCAGCGAGACTCATAATCTGCAACCCATTTTTCTTCGTATTTACATGTGTATGACACTAAAGTGGGTCATTGTGCCAGGCGTTCCTAGCGGAGACCGTGGAAACCGGGAATAAGAATCATTGCATGACCAAAGCCGTGCATGTTTTGCAAAGTGAGCTTAGGAAAGATTAAATTTAGAGCTTTTCTGAAATGTGTTGGTCCACAAATTCTAGCGCTTGAGAGGGTTGATCAGTTTGGAACAAGTGAACACTACTGAGAGATCGACAAAAATAAGGATGGTAATTAGCAAAACTGCGATGGTTGGGTGTTGTAAACTTTCATTGCATGCAAGTGGGTCTTGTGATGAGCATGCGGCAATGATGCAATTTCTCTGGAGTCGAGGCCCTTGATTTTGGTGTGTTTATACACTCATATAGCCTGGGACCGCACATGTATTTCCGGTCATCGCTAGCACGCATACTAAATCAATTCAGAAACAAATAAAAAGAAGAATACTCGACTTCGCTAAAGTAGGAGGTAAATATAAGACCTTTAGCGAGTAAATCCTGTTTCTTGTAGAATTAATCGCCTCCTCATTTCTCAATCTAATCTCCAAGCAAGCGAGACTGAATGCTGCTGTAGGAGCGTTCTTGTTGTTCTCATAAGCGAAAGTCTGCAATAGCTGGAATTTTTTCAGTCAAACATCGGTAATGTTTTGGGGGGGTGGGGGCTGGGGTGGAATCTAGCACCAATTTTGCTCAGAGGTGTCTGTGATAGCAAGGTGTCTGCAAGGCAAGAGTCAGCAAGAATTGATTGTTCTCAGTCCACCCTTCGTTAAATGACCACCTAAAATGCTCAGATGTGTTTGTTGGATGCCTTTGGGGCTGGTCACTCACATGAACTGCCATAGTGCAGTACTTTACCTGGCAAAAGGAACCGGTATTTTGAATAGGTAGTACATGTAGCTCTCAAGAAAGTGCTCCAAGCGGCAACCATTTTGGTCTCCGTGGTGACTTGTTTTGATACAAACGTCTCTCCTCTTATAGAAATTTTGCTTAAAAAATAAGTTACAGTAGTTAGAATAACATGATTTACATGATAAAGTAGGAAGGGTTGTGTCAAAACAAGGTCAACTCCAACCTCGTTTTCACCTGTAACTGTAAATGGACTATTTGCATGAAAAAGTGTTTCCATATCATTTATCCCTTTTACCCTCGTTGACCTGGTATAAAGCCTTGGGTTGTCACGTATCCAAATTCAATGATTGCGATATTCGTCCAGCCAAGCCCCTGATGGTCACCAACATTTTGTCTGGTGACCATTCTATAATTTCAGGTCCCCAAAAGGCTACTTTGAACAAGGCTTAGCTTGGAGCATATTATAGTATCAAAAGGTGCCATGCATGAAAGTTTGACTGTATTTTGTTACTAGCCAGTGGTGGATCCACACTCTGAGATAAGGGGAAGAGGAAAGGGGCGGGGGGGGGGGGTGCAGTCTCCCCCAAAAAATTCCAGCCCTTCAGGTCTCAGTTTGGTCTAAAAACAAGGGGGCGGGGGCAGGCCACTGTGGCCCCTCCCCTTGATCCACCACTGCTATTCTCAGTGCTCTAAGTGTGAAAACCTCTGTATACCATAAATTATACCTCAAAATCCAAGCTGAACTTGAGACATGTAGGTGTCTAATCTTTTATTGATTCTGTGATTTTTTCATCAGAGACGTTCTTCTCTTAACAACAACTCTAATTTAATGCCGCCACCACTGACAAAACAGTTCTTGATTTCTCCTCCTGCTTCCCCACCCGTTGGCTGGGAACAGAGTGTGGAATCTCATCCGGTGATCAACTATGATCTGTTAGCTGCAGTAGCAAGCTTGGACACTGCAAAACCTTACCATCTGCACACTTCACCAGATGACACACCAAGTATAGTGGTGCATTTGTGTGATGAAGACCAAAGAGATGCAGAAGATGAGGACTGCAAGTTTCATCCATTAAAAACTCTGCCTAGAGAAGTGACGCAAACCAGAAGACCAGACAGAAAAATTAACCAATAAACTGTACCAGTACGTTATACGTGTATGTTATTTAATAAGTACAGCTTAGTTTTTTCTTTGCAGTTTTAGGCAAACGAAAGTTTGTATCCGAGGATATGCTTAGATGAGCAAAATAAGCCTGGGTTCGGCACGGTATCGTAGCAACATGAAGAATTTTCGGCGCTTTCGCGCTTGCTTTCGCTCGCCTACAAAACGCGAAAAAATATCGCCTATTCTGCAAGCTAGATGTTGGCTGAAAAGTATGAACTTGTTCAAACCTGGTCAAGCAACATCCTATAATGCTTTCGTTATTCTAACTAGCGATTGATTCAAAGGGTTTAACATTACACAACAAGGATCTAACCACTTGTGATTATCAGGAATGTTTATAATTTGATTTAGCAAGGAATAAATCAAAAGCCTTTATTTGCCTACTGTTAATGCATATTCCTTTCGCTTTGTAATGAAAATCAAGTATCGATGAAAGATAATCTGGACTGCATCCTCTACTTCCTTCTAAGTTTCTATTGTTTAGCAATGTTACTTTTTGTTATCGTTGCTAAACAAAAATGTCCTACAGAAAAGATAGGTCATAAAATCAATATCGTACAATTTGTTTATCTCGGTCTCATAATTCAGACGCTTCCATGGATCTTGGTGACCGATAAGTTCTTAGTTGTGCTTAGTCTGTGTAAAGAACTTTCACATCACCAGGAAGGTTATTAGAATCCATCCATTCCCATCCGTAATACTCGGAACCAGGAAGTTTGAATGTAACGCTTTTGAAGTAGGCATATTTGTAGTCATCTCCTTTCTTTTGCCATTGATACCAAATTTTATCCAAGAATGAATGGTGAAGAGGCATTTCTGGGGCATTTAATGATGAGTGAGGGTGCATCATTGTGCCACCGATCCGAGCATGAGTCGGATCATGATACTCGTTACGAACAATTTGGTCAAAACGGAAAAAATCTTTCAGCGGTAGGGATAAAGTTTTGCGAACGTGTTCAGCATCGCGGAAACTGGATTTCGTGAAATTCCTTTTTAAACATCCTCCTCCGGACACGTCCAAGATACGCCATTTGTCCTTGCTGAAAGGTCCGTTCTCCACGCAGAAGCCATTAGCCTCGTTTCCATTCCCTCCGAATCCGTGATCCCCAGAGTTCCAAAGATCCTGTATTTCCGATTCTCCCCACCAATGATGGGCCACTTTGCTCCAGTCCCAGTAGGGTACAGTAACACGACAGTCGATTCTGCGCAAAGGGTTTTCAAACTCGACCAAAAACCACCGATGCCATGGGAAAAAGATTGTAGGTGTGCCATGAAGAAGATGATCTGGAACGTTGAGGTGAAAACGGACCATTTTTTCGTAATCTTTCTTAAACAGAGGATGGACCGAAGCCAATTTATAAGTGTTGATATAACGTTTTCTCTCCTCAATGGTCATTTCAGTGAACTCTTTTCTAACACGGTAACAGCTTGTCAGTTTACCGTTGTTACATTCACATTGCTCTTCACACGTGTTGAGCACGAGGCTTCTTTCATCGCATTCTTTTAGACTTGGTTCGCTGTGATCTTTGTTCCATTCTTGACTGCCTTCGGAAGCGATCCAGGCAATAATGAGACAAACAATAAACCAATAATGACGAAGCTTCATTGACGTCACTGCAATATATCAAAGATAAATAAGCACGGGAGTTTTTAAAGGTCATTGTCGTATGTAGTGCTTTAGTATAGACTGATTTAAAATCCCACCGATTGCTCAGCTTGGCACTTGCCAAATTCTTCCTGGAAATTATACTGAATCATTCTGTTGTGTTGGGGAGGCACCGGGATTGGAGCCTGGGAGAATAGGAATATCAGTGAATGAATGAATAAACATTGAGGTAGAAGAAAAACACAATCATGAAAACAAGAGTTGAAGTTCATAGCCTGTGTTCATTCACGCAATTTTACACGGATATAATATTAAAATGATTTGGCGTTGCATTATGGCAGTGCAATGATAAAAATATAACTTTTGCCGAAAGAAACCATATCGTGCTAATTTCCACTTTCAAAGAGATGCGAGCATTGACAGTTTACGGTGTTGATTGAATTCATTATCCTCCGCTCCCCCCGACATCTTTACCGCTGCGGTCTGGAATATGAAGGGCCGAAGGGTTTTTGTATTAAAGAAAGTGAACGCGGATCCCTCGGGTTGCGGCCCGTTGGGCCGATCGATCAACAAAGTTTTATGAGGGGAAACTTTCCCCCAAGATCCAACTCGTTACTCTTTAAAATTTAACAGATTTTATTTTTAGCTTTATAAAGGATTTTATCTCAGGGTCTGGATGACCGACCCCTCCCCCTTATCTGAAGTTATGGATCCGCCAATGCTACAGTGACTACAGTGTGACTATGATTATGCATGTGCACCCTGTTGAAATAAAGTGCCATTTATTCATTCATCATTCAAATCGACCACAATTTTCCACGAGTCGCAGGCGAGTGGCGTCACTGCATCGAACTGCAAGTTTGCTTTCACTGCTGTAAATGCACCTTCTTTTAAACATGAATAAATAACTAAACCAGGAAGTTTCCTTGAGTTCGTCACAGTCAAAAAATGCGTCTGTCCACCTGGTTAGGTCCTTTGACAGATCGAGATGACAGATTTCCCTTCCCTTTCATATACCTCAAATAGTAAATCCCAGTTCCCCCTTCAAAAAGCCATCCCTTCAGACGATTCCTTCCGGCATAGGTCACTATAGGGAGTATCCCCGGGTAATGAGCGCTCAAGGATCTACTTCTTTGATTTGAGCTTGAAAACCCGCGCGAACCTACCAATTAACTCCAAGGGTTCTTCTAGTTTCACAATGGCTCCCTGAAGTAAGCTATATCCTAAGTTGTATTTCTTAAAACAATAGAATATCGTGATAAAACACTCCTAGTCTGAATATCATTTAGGAGAATTCATCTTCAGGACGCGATCATTTTTATAACATGCCGAGGAAGACAAAAAATTCTCTTCAAAAGTATTAAAGAAATAAAGAGCAAAAGACTCCTCCATTTTCTTAAAAGGAAAACCATAAACATGCAGATTAGTAGTTCTACTCATCAGCCATGCTAGTGAGGTAGCCAACCGCATTCCCCTCGAAATGGATAGTGATTTATATGCTTATAAATAGAACTGTTGACCTAAAACTGAAAAGGTTAATTTTCAGATCAACATACCTTTAAGAAAATTAAAAGGGTCCTTTCTTCTCAGAAATCAAATCATAGTCTAGTTAAGATAGTGCGTTTTGGTTAAATTGTTGCAATGAACACGTACTTACTTTATGTGCTTTGGTCTTGTTCAGTTGGCAAGTACAGCAAGGCTTCTGTTGCCTCGCCGCTTGTTTTGGGATGGGGCGAAGAGACGGATGACATTTTAGAGCACTAATTGCCATGTACCAAGCATAAATGGAGATTTGTAACCTAACAACACCGTCGGATGTGCATGTATTAAAGTGAAACAATGTTACCTGGTAACAATACTTAGAAACTTAAAAAGTTAATTTTTTTTTCACATTGGTTGCGTTCACATGGAAATTTCTTACACAAATTTTATCGTCTAGCGTTTCATTTCATAAAAATATCGTTAGTTACATCTTGTGTGCGCATAATGTTTTATACGTCACCTACAGAGATTTTATAAAAATACATATCAGATAAATTTATACAGAATGTAAATGAGGTGGAACTAACATAAGTTTTTGTCGGGTGTTTTCTATCAATTCTTCTTTTTCTTGAGGAGTGTCGAAGAGTAAATTACTATTAAAACCGACTTAACTAGTGGGCAAATTTTGTAGTAGCCTGGGACTGGGCTTCGAAGTGGCGAGAAAAGGAAAAAAACGGGGTAAAACGGCAACAAAAAAAAAAATGGTGAGCGACCCTCGCTTCGCTAGCCGATTTTTTTGCCTTTTTCCACCAATGAGGAGCTTGTTCTCAGGCTAATTTTGTAGCAAAGCACAAGCTAGCGTAGGCGTTGTTATGACGGCTCAACCCATGCATTTGAGTCTGGCATTTGAACACCAAAAGGATATGAAATGTGAAATTTTGTTGGGGGATACTTGGGGGGGACCAGGGTTGCTTACCATTTACACAAGCCATCCGGGTGGAAATCTTATGCATAAACGTAAAGCTTAATGAAATTTGACGGGGTGGGAAAACGACCAGCGGTATATCCAAATCGGCTGAATAGACTGAAAAGTGTGGAAAAACTTTCGCCTCAAATCACACACAGCCCATATTTTCCGAAGCTTCCCTATACAGAATGGCGCAAACCATCTCAGGCCACTGAAGGCATGACTATCTACTTAAATATGCATATTTTTTTAATGCCAAAAATCATTCCGCTTCAACCTAACTGGTCAGAAAGAGCTTTTCCTTCTCACCTCGCCGTCACTTTTGGTCGTTTTCTCCGCTATTTAGTGATTTCATGGAATTAAATTTTTAAGTTTCTACGTATTGGTACCAGGTAACCTTGATTCACTCAGTTTAATACATGCACATCAGTTGACGGTGTTGTTAGGTTACAAATCTCCATTTATGCTTGGTACATGGCAATTAGTACTCTAAAATGTCATCCGTCTCTTCGCCCCACCCCAAAACAAGCGGCGAGGCAACAGAAGCCGTGCTGTACTTGCCAGCTGAACAAGACCAAAGCACATGAAGTAAGTACGTGTTCATTGCAACAATTTAACCAAAACGCACCATCTCAACTAGACTACGATTTGATTTCTGAGAAGAAAAAACCTTTTTCTTAAACGCATGTTGATCTGAAAATTAACTTTTACAGTTTTAGTTCAACAGTTCTATTTAGAAGTATATAAATCACTATCCATTTCGAGGGGAATGCGGTTGGCTACCTCACTGGCATTGATGATGAGTAGAACTACTAATCGGCCTGTTTATGGTTTTCCTTTTAAGTAAATGGAGGAATTGTTTGCTCTTTATTTCTTTAATACTTTTGAAGAGAATTTTTTGTCTTCCTCGGCATGTTTTAAAAATGATCGCTCCTGAAGATGAATTCTCCTAAATGATATTCAGACTAGGGGTGTTTTATCACGATATTCTATTGCTCTAAGAAATACAACTTAGGATATAACTTACTTCAGGGACCCATTGTTAAACTAGAAGAACCCTTGGAGTTAATTGGTGGTTCGCGCCGGTTTTCAAGCTCAAATCAAAGAAGTAGATCCTTGAGCGCTCATTACCCGGGGATGCTCCCTATAATGGCCTATGCCGGAAGGAATCGTCTGAAGGGATGGCTTTTTTAAGAAGGAACTGGGATTTACTACTTGAAGTATATAAAGGGAAGGGGAATCTGTCATCTCGATCTGTCAAAGCTAAACTGGCGGACAGACGCATTTTTTGATTGTGACAAACTCAAGGAAACTTCCTGGTTTAATTTAGTTATTTATTCATATTTAACAGAAGGTGCATTTACAGCAGTGAAAACAAACTTGCAGTGACGCCACTCGCCTGCGACTCGTGGTTTCACTCGAGTTTTGAACATTTTTTCGTACAGATCAATGGAAAAATGTGATCGATTTGAATGATGAATGAATGAATGGCACTTTATTTCAATAGGGTGCATAATCACAGTCACACTGCAGTCACTGTAGGAGGGGAGGTTCCAGAACTTCAGATAAGGGGGAGGGTGGGGAGGCAGGTCATCCAGACCCTGGGATAAATTCCTTTAAAAAGCTAAAAATAAGATTTGTTATATATTAAAGAGTAATGAGTTGGATCTCGGGGCAAAGCTTCCACGCATAAAACTTTCAATTGTTGATCGATCACCCCAACGGGGCCTACCCGGGGGATTCGCGTTCACTTTCTTCTTTAATACAAAACCCCTTCAGCCCTTCACATTCCAGACCGTATCGGTAAAGATTTCGGGGCGGGGGAGGATCATGAATTCGGTCAACACCGTAAATTGTCAATGCTCGCATCTCTGTGAAAGTGAAAATTAGCACGAATTGGTTTCTTTCGGCAAAAGTTATATTTTTCTCATTTTTAACCACAGCTTTGGCACTACCATGCAACGCCAAATAATTTCAATATTTATGTGAAAAATTGGGAAAGAACTCAGGCTATGAACTTCAAGTCTTGTTTTCATGATTGTATACTTTATTCGACCTCAATCTTTATTCATTTATTTATTTCTTTATTTGTTTGTTGAAACAGTACAGTTCCGCTCGCAAATAGCAAAAGCTAATCGAGGCGAGCGGAGATTCCTGGGTTACAACAGTCAGTGATGATCGAATTTACAAACATGGATAAATTTCAAATTAAATAGGAATAAATAACATTACTATGATATTTGGACAACTTTTACAAACTACAGGGAGAAGATGTTCCAGGAACTACAAAGTTTTTTTTAAAATTTTTTTGTCAATCTCTATCAACACTTACACAAACATAAAAAAAAAAATTTAAAACAATTACGATACTTTACAATAAATTGCAGTATATTGTATTACAGTCTTTCTACTCTACAAAGGTATAGTAAAATGCGAGTCTAACGTTGAGTATAACCTTACTAGTTGAATTTAGACATAGCTAGCGAACAAACTTCTTCTCAATTAAAGGTTTCCATTTATGATAATAATATTCAGGTGAATTAACGCTTACTGCAATTTGTTTTTCTATCTCAGCTTTGTTTACCACTATAGTTAGATAAACACTTAATAACAAACGCTCTTCTGTAGGGAAATACAAAGTTAACTACAGCATTTTGCTACTAAACAAAACATGTAAAAGGGAAGGAAGAAAGTGGCTTGGAATGGCAAAATTAAACAATTAAGCAGTGCAGTTTGCCATCTTCTATAACACTGGACGCTTCAACATCGATGATCATCCCCATTCTCCAAGATAGAAAATATCATATTTTAAAACTGAATTTTATTTTAAAAGCTTTTAATTCCTGAAAAGTTGACAAAATTCATCACGGATGGAGTTCCAAAGTTTAGCTCCGAACCTGACAAAAGACCCTTGACTTTGATTCAGTCTTGAGGTTTTCATGTAAAAAATACCAGGAGAAGAGAGCCGATCACCTTTATGCTTATAGTTAGCAGTTTGATAACGAGATCAGATTTGTTAAATGGTGTACGTCTTAGAAGAAACATAGGGCATTATAAATGAAACTGATTCAACACCGTACAGCATGTTTAAGGGAAGAATTTCTGAGGATTAGTAAACCAAGGCACTGCTTGTGGTTTAGGGTCCCAAAAATGTATCAGAAGAAGAGCACGTTTTAGTAGCACGAGAAATACCCGTGCGGAAGATGCCTGCACCCTGAAAGTTTTCTCATCCTTTTTAAAATGATGAAAAAAAGTCAGGAAGTGATTTATCGCACGTCCAAAGCTCCCGCCTCCCGCTTCTTGGCTTCCTTCCCTCAGCCCTTTTTCAATTGCGAAAATATTAAGCACTGTCAGGAGCCCATACCCCTTCTTAAACACCCACCCCCACCCTTTCCTCTGCCGCAATCCTCTTTCGTGGGGTAGGAACGTGTGAGTAACCCCTAAGAACGTCAGGCTCCCATCCCGGTACCTCCCCAACACAACAGAATGATTCAGTATAATTTCCAGGAAGAATTTGGCAAGTGCCAAGCTGAGCAATCGGTGGGATTTTTATATCAGTCTATACTAAAGCCAACTAAATAGCCAACTGGTTGCCTTCTGCCAGTTGGGGTTTTTTAATCCTGTTATGTTGTATTTGAATTATTTGTTTCTAAATATTTGAGTGGAGTGCCTGTAAATTAGCTGGACAAGCTAAGTGCAATTTCCACTATAAACAAGCCTTTAACTTTTTTTTTTTTTTAACTAAAGCGCTGCCATACGACAATGACCTTTAAAAACTCCCGTGCTTATTTATCTTTGATATATTGCAGTGACGTCAATGAAGCTTCGTCATTATTGGTTTATTGTTTGTCTCATTATTGCCTGGATCGCTTCCGAAGGCAGTCAAGAATGGAACAAAGATCACAGCGAACCAAGTTTAAAAGAATGCGATGAAAGAAGCTTCGTACTCAACACGTGTGAAGAGCAATGTGAATGTAACAACGGTAAACTGACCAGCTGTTACCGTGTTCGAAAAGAGTTCACTGAAATGACCATTGAGGAGAGAAAACGTTATATCAACACTTATAAATTGGCTTCGGTCCATCCCCTGTTTAAAAAAGATTACGAAAAAATGGTCCGTCGTCACCTCAACGCTCCAGATTATCTTCTTCATCACACACCTACGATCTTTTTCCCCTGGCATCGGTGGTTTTTGGTTGAGTTTGAAAACCTACTGCGCAAAATCGACTGTCGTGTTACTGTACCCTACTGGGACTGGAGCAAAGTGGCCCATCATTGGTGGAGAGAATCGGAAATACAGGACCTTTGGAACTCTAGGGATCATGGATTCGGAGGGAATGGAAACGAGGCTAATGACTTCTGCGTGGAGAACGGACCTTTCAGCAAGGACAAATGGCGTATCTTAGATGTGTCCGGAGGAGGATGTTTAAGAAGGAATTTCACGAAATCCAGTTTCCACGATGCTGAACACGTTCGCAAAACTTTATCCCTACCGCTGACAGATTTTTTCCGTTTTGACCAAATTGTTCGTGACGAGTATCATGCTCCGACTCATGATCGGATCGGTTGCACAATGATGAACCCTCACTCATCATCAAATGCCCCAGCAATGCCTCTTCACCATTCATTCTTGGATAAAATTTGGTACCAATGGCAAAAGAAAGGAGATGACTACAAATATGCCTACTTCAAAAGCGTTACATTCAAACTTCCTGGTTCCAAGTATTACGGATGGGAATGGATGGATTCTAACAACCTTCCTGGTGATGTGAAAGTTCTTTACACAGACTAAGCACAACTAAGAACTTATCGGTCACCAAGATCCATGGAAGCGTCTGAATTATAAGACTGACAGATGACAAACAATTTGTTAGGTTAGGACAATTCTTAGATAAGGAAGGATATCAAAAAGTAACATTGCTAAACAACAAAAACTTAGAAGGAAGTAGAGGAACTGAATGCAGTCCAGATTATTTTTTATCGATAGGAATCGATTTTCATTAACCAGTGGAAGGGATATGTATTAACCGTAGACAATTTAATGCTTTTGATTTTTTCCGTGCTAAATCAAATAAATATCTCTGAAAATCACAAGTTGTTAGATCCTTGTTGTTTTAACCCTTAGAATTGCCAGTTAAAATAACGAAAGCATCATAGGATATTGCTTGTCAAATTGCTTGACCAGGGTTGAACGAGCTCACACTTTTCAGCCAACATCTTGCCTGCAGAATAGGCGATATTATTCTGGCTACTACAAAATTTGCCCACTAGATAAGTCGGTTTTAATAATAATTTACTCTTCAATACTCATCAAGGAAAAAAACAAATAATTTATTGATAGAAAACACGCGACAAAAACTTATGTTAGTTCCACCTCATTTACACTCTGTCTCTGTATAAATTTATCTGATATGTATTTTTGTTAAATCTCTGTAGAAGGCGTATAAAAAATTATGCGCACACAAGATGCCGGACTAACGATATTTTTTACGAAATGAAACGCTGGACGATAAAATTTGTGTAAAAAATTTCCATGTGAACGCAACGGATCTGAAGAAAAATTACTTAAAGGGGCTACTTCATGAAGATATTGTTGTTTTCCGTGCTAGCCTGTGTACACCCGCCCCGTCCCCTTACGATTTTTTCTGAGGGGAGGGGGTGGTTGTACACGGGCTGTTGTGTTGTTAAGCCATGACTTGGTTCCTTGACATTTTCAAAATGCTCTTGTACAGTCATAAAGAAGATATCAAACTATTTTCTTTAGGCGGCACTAACCACAACAATTTTCTGGTGAATTTTGTAGGCACAGAATAAAAACCTGAAAAAAATGGCCCAATTTCATCACGAGTTTTAATCCATGACCATCTACACCAGTGGTGTACACAGACGTTGCTTTGTCATGCGGATGCTTTCGTAACAACAGATGACAGGAAACTAGCCTGTTCCAAGCGTTCGGATAGTGGAGCACCCCCTACCCCACCCCTTCGCTGTTTTTTTTTTCTGCTCACATCTCTTTCTAACAGGAAACAGTGTCAATGGCTAAAATATAGTCTTAACAAAACTAAGCTATATTTTTTTAAAAAGTAAAGCAAATACTATGACATCGCCCTTTAAAATGCAGCCCATATCCATTCTACATAAGACTGGCAGTTTAGTCGGGCGGTTTACGTCTTACTAAAACCTAATTCAGAAGCAGCAAATGTCGTAGGAAAGGTAAGAATAAATTACTTTAAAGGAGAGATCCTAAACGCCACGTATTATCTGCCATATAAAACTACCGCTATTACTAACAAAACATAGTTAACTAAAAATCGAACAGACCTATGCCGCCATATTTTAACACACAAGGCGATACTAAGCTCCAAAATCACCGAAAAATAATTTCAAATTGCAAAAACATCCTTAGCACTTTGATACGATACATTTTCTCTTTTAAAATACATTTGTACACGTTTCTTTCATCATATAAACAATAAAACTCTGTTTGACAAATATTAACATCAAAACACAACTAGCATAACACGCGAGACCGCTTTGGGCTGATAGTAACGGAATAAAACGTAGGGCTGGGAGATCGAAGGGAAAGATGTAGAAGACAGCGCAGCAAGAGTTTGTCACGATGTCTTCGAAATCTAAAAGCCCGCCAGCTCACTTGCAACTTTCTACTTGGAAATCGTGGGAGCAGAAGGGATTTCCCTTTCGTAAATGATCGTTTCCATTTGTGGCCTTTCGTATGATACATTCTCTTTTACTTCTACGCTACCATATCAACCCGGCCAAAATTGCCAAAATTGTATTCTTATAAACTGTTTTTCATAGCTGATACATCTATAAAAGGTGACTCAGACCCTTTGTATAACTTTTGAAGTAAACTCAACTCGGGCTTATAATCTTCGTTTTTCATAACCTGCGATCAGGCGTTTTTTCTTCGGGGAAGAAGGACCGCCTGATCGCAGGTTACGTTTTTCAGAGACTATTTAAAAATGTATTTTTTGCCCTATTGTAACTTAATCCAAAGAAAAAATTACATCTATCATGACTAAAAATGGCGTAATCGACAGTTAAAAAAGGCAACGAACGTTTACGACAGGGAAATAGGCGGAGGCTAAAGTTCAAGCCTGAAATGCGAACTTTGCCTATCGCGATATTTAAATAGAGAGCTTTCTCGCCAGCTAAAAGTTAAAGCAATTTCATTTCTTCACACAATTAACTTAATCAGCCTAGAGCCCCTTTCCTTAGTTTTAAAAAGAAAGGATATGTATAACGGTTAACCCTTTAAGTTTTAATAAATAATAAAACCTAGTTTCTTCTTATAATACGACGGTCATCAAAGCTGAAATGTCTCGAGTTTGAATAGCCTTCGAGCAAGCTCTCGGCACCCCTCGCACTCGCGTCTACTTTCGCGTGCTGCTCTCGCGTGACCTCTCGCGACTTCCCCTAATGCGGGAGAGCTTGCTCGCAAGCTAGAGCTTGAAAAGTGGAAGAGCCGAGAAACAACTCTGACATTATTAGAACTAAAAGGGTTAAGAGACCTAAATTATATGAATTTGACTACTTTCTAATCCCATTGGAGAGACAGCTTTGTTCTTCTTCTTTAAGCTTATCCTTCTCTCGCGCGGCGTTCCACTCACAATGGTTTCAGTATCTCCAGTAGTATCCACCGAACTATGAGTAGCATCGCTTTCAAGTGAAGATCTCCGCCTAAGAATTCCTTCGGGATCGTGGCTGAACGATCGTCGGAAAAAAGGAGCAGTGTCATTATTGTTACGCAAGAAAGGACTTGGGTCCGAGGAATTCAGCCGGTCTTCAGCATTGTTACGCCGGAAGCTTGATGACCTCTGAGAAGACGCGACCGATAAAGAACCAGCTTTCATGCTTCGTTTTATCGAATCTTTGATGTATTTTACTAAATCTCGTTTCTCCTCGGCAGTTCTGTCAAAACAATTCAGAGCAAAGCTACGTTTAGAGAAATTTCCTTACATAAAAAGATCGGCAATAAATACTCTTAGAGGGAGGACGGACTTCAAATAAGTGTCCTCTTGTGAATATCAAAATGCCAGGAAAAGGTTTGCAATTCCAATTTGGTTTGGTCTCAATTAATATAAAATGAAGTAACATGTCTTTGTTGCATTAAAGAAGAGGTGTCACGAAATTTATCAAAATTCAAACATAATAACAGCCACCAAATTGAGTGAAACATTAAAATAACTGCTTTGAAGATTAAAAGAAGGTTTGAATAATAAGCAAAGACAAAAGGAGGCACGGATAGACAAAAGTTGAAGAAGATTGAAACGGACTGCAATTGTGGTTTTTCACTGTCAGAAAACTTTACTTTTGTTGTTTGTAACGTTTGATATAATACTTGGGAAAAAATCTGTGTGACACGAAGCTCAAAAATTTCCATTCACAAGTAATATCTCAAGTTCCACAGCGAATAACGAGGCGTAATTGGCATTATTAATACAACGAACAAGAGAGCCGTGACACTGTGAGCCCCTTTAGTCTTTCAGATCCTGGGAAAGATTTGAATTACACCTAAGAAAAAAATTCCCGCACTGAGGAAAGATTTACTGTATACTTGTAGTGGTAGTTCGCCTGCCATAATTCTCTTCTTTACAATAGTAAGTTTCAAATTTCTACTTGAAGTGGGAGACAAACTGAACAAACAAAGAATAACAAGAATCAAAAGATGTCTTACTTGTTCGCAAAGAGGTAATTACATTCCTGTCGACCAATCTCTTCTGTATCACTGATGTTTACAAGTTCCCACGAATGAAATGTCTCTGTAAAGATGAACAATAAAAACTCGTAAGAGCAGGACAGATGAAGATTACAAAGTTTTACAACATATTTAGACCCAGTATTCTGGTGCAATTCTATCTTTACGTAATGTTTTACCGTTTCGTTTAGAAATGGGCCGATAAAGGCAAATTTGGCTGAGGGTTTTTATTTCCTTGCTCTTGACATAAGAATCACTGCAATGCCTAACCTTAGAGAAACCCGTGCTTTCAACTGAAGAAAATAAACAAACACACAACGAAAAGAATGTTTTCCATATAAGACACAATAACTGGGTAGCCTCCCACTCAAACGCTCTTTGGGGTTTTGTATAGCGAAGGAATGCCTGAGGAACCTCTAGGAATCTCTGCATGGGATAACAACAGACAACAACAGCCGTGGAATTTCATGGACATGGTGTATTGGCAACAAATATGCAAACAAAACAAATAGATAAACTGAGAAAAAGATATAGGAAAAGAAGAAAAAAGAGACATACCGTCAGTTAACCAGCAGTGATCCCGTATAACAAGCGAGGAGGCAGGGATAATTGTTTTAAATTTGATTTCGTCTACAACCTTTACCGAGGTTGGCTGATAAAAAAGAAGAATATATCAAAAGAAGAATATTATCAGGAAAAATAGAAAAAAAAATTAAAGGTAACCAATAAAACGGGAGGAAAACCGTATCAAAGTTCACTAATCAAACTTACCCGATCTTTATCTTTCTTTTTGTGTTTCCTCTCCACATAAAGCAGAATCAGAACTTTCTCGAACACTGAGTAAAAAAGACGGACATTCAAAGTTACGCCAGTCCAGCGAGTCAGACGATCTAAAATAAGGGAGCGAACTATCTGCGTTTTGGTGTGAATAATTTTCAGTGCATTTTCATTTCTTTGGTATCAACATCATTTCCTCATATTATCATCTACTACCGATATGCACGAACGTTTACAAAATTGCCGAAATTTCGTGAAAAACGAAGATGTAGTTTTCATTCTATGAGAAAACTCTCGTATATTAACTTCATCTATTCAAAATAAGGTATTTACAGAAAATAGAAAAGAAATTAACGTCAGTAAGAAACATGAATTTTTAGCTCCGATTTTCTTAAGACGTCAACCAAGAGCTGTATATTGTAACAGGCTGTAGCAGTTTCAGATCTTAAAACACCCCTGTCCATTAACCCTTTAGGTCCCAAAAGGGACCAACATCAATTTTCACCTAACAGTATCAATACACAATCAACAGAAAAGGTTATGAGAATTGATAAAGCGATCATTGACACCAAAGGAAAAATGCTTTGACCTTTCTCAAACAAATTCTAATCAATAATAAATAATGATTTGGAGGTAGCACATCCACAAACTGGTTCTTCGTCTACCTGATTCCTGGTCTAATTGGAATTTGGAAGTGTTGGTTTTTGAGGAGAGCGGAAAACCGGAGTACCTGGAGAAAAACCTCTCGGAGCAAAGGAGAGAACCAACAACAAACTCGACCCCTCAGATTTGGAGTCGACGCCGGGATTTGAACCCGGACGACATTGGTAGGAGGCGAGTGCTCTCACCGCTGCGCCATGCCTTGCTCCTCTTTATTGAAATGAATGGAGATCACTCTGGAGAATTGGTATTGAAGCTTTAAGGGTTAAACTATACGTATTGTACTAGGAAATAATTCGAGATTTTATGTTTTCTTACCAAACAGATGCATGGTTCCTGGTGTCATCTTTTTACCGATTTTGGGAGAGACTGGGTACCGCTTAAGAGTTCCACTACGCAACACTTCCTCGGGGCAATTTAGCCACTGTGCTTTGCCATGATGTAACAGGCGGTCAATACTTACGTCAGAAAGCTACAAATACAAAGACAGTACTACGTTTTTACCATTTTTTGAATTTCGTGCCATTTTTATGACTAAAATAGACCCTTACACGGTTTTTTCAACTTTTGACTGAAACCAGTTAGCGAAAATACGTCAACATGGCTGAAAAGAATGCCTTAAAATCAGTAAAGTTGCCAAGTTTTAAAGTCATTTGTTTAAAACTAACAGACGTTTGTATGGTGGAGGGGAGGGGAGGGGAGGGGAGGGGGGAGGGGGCGGTAAGTTTGTGCCCCCCACCATACAAAGAAAAAATACAATTTCACAACTTTCAGGGGCAATATCTTCGCTCTTTTTGGAACTTGGTAAGTTACTTTAATTTTAAGGCCCTCTTTCCAGTAATGTCAATGGATATTCCCGCGCCTACTACTCTTTATCAAAAGTTGAAAAAACCGTGTAAGGGTCTATTTAAGGTAATAAGAAGCCACTGAGACTCATGCAACTTGACACAGTAAAGAAGAACTTTTTTGCAGCTAATTCAATTACTTTGACCTTTATAAAAGTGAATTAACATTACTAGGGCGAATGTTACATAAGTCGTGTTCGATATAAGATACACAATTAAATAATTTGCAACATTTTCCTACGTCAAAAGGGCCCATTTCGGTATGTTAAAGTTCGTAGCTGGCTCCAAGGTTTAGGGGAAAAGAGCAAACAAACAAACAAACAAAGAAACAAGTTAAGAATTATTCCCTAAACCTCAGTGTGATTTCTCTTGTGTTATTCGCTTAAGCCTCAGTTCCAAATATGGATTTTAAAATATCGAAATAGGACTACTGCAAAGTGATCGCCAGAATCTACTCAGTATTACCTCAAATCCTCCATATTCCACAACTAACTGGTGAAAAACAGGCGAAAACTGTTCTGTGATCCTCTGCATCTCGTTAATATGCTCAGCAACTTTCTCGATTGCGACCACAGCGTCTAAAAAATTGCAAATACATAAATAAAAATCACGTTTTTTAAGTATTAATGCGCAACAAGAGAGGATAAAGGGAAGAGAGAAAGGCATCCGCCATACACACCTTATTCCATAGGTAATTCGTCTCGAGTTATTTTTAAGACCACAGATCCCACGGGGGATTAGACAACAGCCAATCACATAGCGCGAATGTGTTCCGCGTGGATGACCCACGCTCAGAGCCACGCGTCCTTCACGAATTGACGGAGAACAAAATGGCGGCAGACGCGGACAGCGATATTGCTATTCGTTTTGTCGACGAAAACGACTACAGAGAGATTTCTGCTAAGCTGTGACAGCGAAACGGAAATTAAAAAAGAATCGCCCTTTCCTGGCTTGTTTCTAAACATTGTTACGATGTTGATTCGAGCGAAGCTGAGAGTTCTAGTGAAGAAGATGAAAAAGTCAGTGCAAGCGAGGAGGAAGCTGTAACCGAAACGGAGAGTGCTAAGGAAAGACAAGAATCGGTAGAAAGCTCCTATTCCGATGATAGTTCAGCAGATGAAGCGAAGAGGAGGAAAAGTGCAGGGAAGCCTAAACCTGCGCCTTCGAGTTCGACCGTCATCAAATGAAGCAAAAAGGCGCCGAAGAAATCAAATAAACGGAACAAGGGTCTTTCGGAAGAAGAGATGGAGCGATCCCCTTTTCCCAGGTGAGCGCCGACTAATTTCGCTTCAATATTCAGGAATGCTCTCGATCTCTTTACGCTTTTATTGCCTTTCGCCCGACATGTTTTGCACCGACGTTTAGTCATGCGAAACCTCCACGAAACATCCACGCAGCGCGCGAGGTAACTTTATCCCGATTCTAAAAATAACTCGAGACGAATTACCTATGGAATAGGGTGTGTATGGGAAATGCCTTCTCTGTCCCCTTTATCCTCTCTTGTGCGCAATGATTATTTAAGGCAAAAAAGGGGGGAAAAAGCACTTTATTTTAGTGTCAATGCATTTAGCACGCAAGTACTAAATGAGGACACTATTTTTACGTCTCCTAAACGAGTAGTCCCCTATCAGGGATAGTAGAGTGAGCGAAACGCGAACGCGCGTGAAAATCACCCCACGCGAGAATAGGCCCGCGAGTCGCCTTTCCTCGCGTGGGGTGATTTTCACGCGCGCTCGCGTTTCGCTCGCTCCAGATACTATCCATGAGGAAAAATGGGGGACTACTCGTAGTCTACGCAAAGGTCGGCAAAGGCACCTACCTTCATTTCTCAGTTATTTTAAGACCCCGAGTATCGATCCGGACCCGGGAATCGAACCCGTGACCTCTCGCTCTGATGAACGTCAAGGGCTATACCGACTGAGGTAATCCTGCCGCGGTTAAGAACAATAGGCCTTTTTCGAGTTCCCCCCGGGCCTCTGTATCAAAACGAGGTTAAGTGCTCCGCCTTTGATATGGAAGTGATTTTTTATTCTCATGCAAATAAGACTCATTTTCAGTTCACAAGACAGGCTGTGCACTTAGCCTCACTTTCAGAGTGAGGGGGCCCATTCAGATGGGAATCAATTTTTGCAATTTAGTGTATGCAGGAGAGCAGTGGGCTCTTCGCCATTGATCCGAAAACGTTAGGAACGTTTCTGTCAAGAATATACGAAGCAGTAGCGCGGATTAAACTTAATTAAGCCTTTACAGAAGTAAACTATGCGGAAAACTTATATTTGTGAAAAATTCAGCCTTACTGACCAACGTTGCCTTCTGGGCTTAACATAGTAAAACTAAAGTAAACAAACAAACAAAACAAAAAGTGACTCATTTGTTACTTACCTAGAAGGCAATGATGCTCTTCGCTGTTGCCATCCAAAAGCTTTAGGATCGTTCTCAACAATAAAGGATATCTTAAAATACGCTGCAAAATAAATACAAATAGATACATAAATAAAATAGTATATTGGCTCTTGTATTATGCTCTAAATTATTTTCGAAATTACATCTTTTATTTTGTATTTGTATGGATGTATAATTATTAATTATTGCATTCATATGCTGTGACGTGGCTGTTGCCAATATCATATCAGTAAAAATCTTAGAAAGACCACCCAATGCCCTAAACGTCTCAGTAAGCTACGATAAGTGTTACGTTATTTTCTTGTAAAGCAAGTACATTTACCTGAATTGGTTTAATAAGATACGACTCTAGCGTTCCTGAATGCTGGTTTTTCGGATTACGGGCATGAAGAAACTCTTGTAGTGCGACATTTGAACCTGAACAAAAAAAAGACAAGAAAGGAGTTTTGGTATTCCAAGTTCTAATATGCCGGCAAGGATAGCGCGGTTTGAGTTGAAAGTCTTTTAGCCTGTTCCAGGTGTTCAGCCCGATTGGAGTGCGGCAGAAGTCGGAGAGCGGGAAAAAAGGGGTCATTATCTGTTTCTGGGAATCTGCCCACCTACTCCTCCCCTAAGCCAACATTTTGCCCTAACTGAGAAGTAAGTGTTAATGTTGGCTTAGGGGAGGGGTAGGTGGGCAGTTTCCCAGAAACGTATAATCATCCAAAATGAGGAGAACGAGATGAGTGGGAAAGATAAATGAACGCGTTCCTTCACTCTCACCACGTCACCCCACCCATCCCCTGGCTGTTTATCACGTCTCTGCACCGTCCCCACCATCTCAACGGTTGGAACAGGCTAAAAGTCGTCAAAACACATTTAAAGTAGAACATGTATATACTAGTTATGCAACGCTTTCGAGTGATATACCATGGAATATCCCACGAGTCACTTGTATTTTCTCACGAGCTTTGGTAGTCAATCATAAAACTAGCCTTGCAAAAACGGAGTAAAACATAAATTAATCTTCTGCAAAAACCACGGTTTTCATTTGTACTTAGTCTATTGCCTTGCTCGCGCTTTGCAAACCCGGCGGCTAAATGGAGCTAAATGGTAAACAACCAAGTATTCATGTATTGTTGGAAGCCCTTATTGGCGGTTCACTGCGATTTCAAAGTTATTTCATTACTTTTGTACATGCAACTCGGCTGAGATAAGCTTACCTGACTGAAGTAGCTCTACTACTCTTGAATGACTGGAACAGAATGCACTGTACAACTTAAAATGTTCAGTATAATTGAAAAATGTCTCTCCAAGGGTATAAATAACATTCTGGCGAGAAACAAGAGATAAAAACAGTATTTCAATCAAAATGACAGCTTTTAAACATAAAAGGAAAACAGTTGCCTCGAGGCATCATTCGTTCATACTTCACACGTTTCGGATTTCACTTTTTGACGGCTATAAGGGAATTGTCCTAAATTCATGCATTTATCAAGACAGTAAGATAAAGAGGGTTTTTCGAGGAGAAACAATCTTGATTGCATTACAAATTTGGAAAGTTCTATTAACAGCTTGTGTTGGAAATTTATCGCAGGCCCTATTTATGCATGGTTCAATCTGACCTGTTACTATACCCCCCCCCCCGGGCATACCCCCGGGGATTTGAAATTTTTTTCTTTCTTGGTGGTCTGTTCCCCACCCCAAGGCACGCAAAAAGAGACAATTCCCCACCCCTGAGCTCCTGATCGACCTCATATTCGTATTTTTGGGTACATCTTTTTGAGATCAATAATAATATTATTAATTTCCGTACAATAGCAAAACGAGAAGTTTTCATAACTTTTATCAACGTTTTTTAGAGTTTATTTAGAGAAGGGTAGGACGTGTATAATCTGGGTAAAACATGGAGAATAAAATTTGAAAACGAAAAAGCGCGAAGAAAAAACCCCAAAGCGCCTTCTTGATATGATAGAACACGTCATAAGAACACTGGACTGAATCTCTGTTTATCTATATGATTATCAAGAGCCATTCGTTGGACGTTTTGAAACATACCTTCAAACACAGACTTAAATTTTGATAGGTCATTCCTCTCCAGCCACTATTCGACAAATTCCTGCATTTGCCCTTAAAAATATGTTGTCTTAAGGTCCGCAGCCATCATGCAAACCGGGCAACAAACTCAAATAAAAAATTTTGAAAATCAAGAGAAGCAAGAGCCATAATATGGATCTTGAGAGAAGTTATTTTTGATTTGCCCCACCCCCTACCCCCGGGGCAGGACTGCTTCAAACAATTCCTCATTCCCGAGGCCGAAAAGCTGGACTTGTCCCGGGGGTTTCCCGTAGGGGATGGTAACAGGTCTGATTGAACCGCATTAGCTAGTTGTACTAGGAAACAACTCCGTACCTGGAATTGTTCGACGGCACTGAACTCATCAAAACCAGTCTCTGATTCAACAGATCTTTCAATTTCTTTGAGAAATTTTACTTGAAAATCTAAGATTTCGTGTACAGTTGCCACCAAAGCCTGAACCTAAAAAACATGAAAAAGACAATCAAATGATCGATGAAGTTGCCATGACCCAAAAAATATTAAAAATAAGGCAATTCATAAAGAATTACAGACCTCTGATTGTGACATAAAGTTTTCATCCTTCATCGGGTCGAGGTAACGTTTTAGCAAGAGCCTCAGATCCTAAAGACGTTCAATAGAAAAAAAATACAGTATTTATAAAAGGATGTGCAGTGCGCCACGGAGCTCCACGGGTTACGATTTTCCATCATTTTCCCGCGCTTATCAAGACAATTTACCACGGACGCAGAGGGAGGTAAACGAGGTAAACATTGTTGTGAAATGCCTTAACATTCCCCATCCCTAAACTTTAAGCGTTCTAAAAGTCTCTTTTAGGGATAGGGCATCTGTTACCCAGCTAGCAGAGTCGCTTCGATCTTTCCTAGATAAGTCGGGAAAGAGGAAGCAAGATCGACGGAGACTCTGTTCGCAGGGTAGGCATCTGTTAAAGCATTTCATGATTTCACAACAATGTTTACCTCGTCTACCTGCCAGTCTTTAAGTCTCACCCGCCCTCTTCGCACGTGGTGAATATTGTCTCCCAAAGTAACTTGTTTACATAAGCTTGCTTTCGCGCGCTCAAGACTGCCAAGTGAAACTAAACTACGTGGAAAGTATTTGGCATTTTTTTCCTTGAGGTTTATTTTCTTTTGTGCCTTGGACTGGTATCAAAATATTTAAAAACGTCTTTCTTTTGGAGTTGGCAATGTTTCTCGCTCCGGACTCTAAAAAAAGGTCAGTAAATGTTTCGGGGTTATTTTTATCAAGTCCTCCATTAGCGGTTTACGTTTCCTATCTTCAGGCATAAAAGAAAAAACTCTCTTAAGCTCATCTTCACTTGTGGGCCAGTCTTACCGCTTTTCCGTGTTTGTGAGCTTCAGCAACACGGACGTTTTCTCGAGATTTTTCATTCTAAGCTTACCTTCACATATGATCTTTCCGTATCCACAAGTTCAACGATAACTTTACGAAGTTTCTGTGCATTGCTTAGTTGAACACTTGGCTTAGGTTCCTGATCGTCATCTGAATACTCAACCTGTTGTCTGCAAAACAGCGTCACCTGCTCGGCACTCTACGAGTAAACACACAAACAAACAATCAAGACTGACATGAATTACCCTGGGAGCGCAAATTTCTCTAGGCAGAACACTATCCCGCCTAGAAAAACCAATGCTCGCAGGGTAACATGATTATGAAGCCTTGAAAAATGTGCTGAATTATGAAAAATTTATTAATTTTGTTTCAAAACGAACTTGTACAAATCCACACATAGAAAAATTAAACAAACAAGCAAAAACAACAAAACAAAGAACATATCATACATGAAGCGCTTGCAGCCATATACCTCATGTAAGCATACGCAAAACAAAGCAAGATAAAAGAGTCATAAAAACCTGAAGGAGCTCGTCGACGCTCTTGGTTGAGCTATCCAAAGGGCTGGTAGGTTCTTCTAGCTGATTTGTAACAATACTTGAGCTGTCCACTGAATCCTCAACATACGCTACAAACAAAAAATTAACAGTTATAAAGTATGATACACTGAAGCTCGACTTTTTAGGCTGAATCGCAGTTTGACAAAAATAATTGGGTATGCGTGAATGAAGAAAATCGGTTCCGCGGGTACCGTCATCACAAAAGAACCGAAGGAACCAAGCAATGGAGTTCTCCTGGGATCCCTGGGAGCTTCATTGCTTGGTTGTCTTGTTCCTTTTGTTGTACGTAATCTGTCCCTCACTACCTACAGAAGTAACCCAGAAGTAACCGAAAATCGTTTTCATTAAACCTGAACTTAACAGCTTTTTCTCGTGTTTTAGCCTGTGTGCCAATGGAGCTAGATTTTTAGAAGCTACATCTACGTCTGACAGAAACACAGGGCATAAATGAATAATTACCTAAGACGAAGCATTGGTAGATTTTTAACTAGTGAAGGCAAACTAATACAGTTTAGCCGTAAAACATACAAGTTCATGCCACCACTGCTTAAGAGTACTGAAGAAGCTTTATTACAGAGTTACTCACATTGAGGGGGAGGCACTATGAGATCACTCAAATCTTGCTCAGCAATATTATCACTGTAAATATAACACGAAAAAAATCAAACATGAAATAAGCTTAATGGTATTCGAAGTAATTTCTTGTACTGACCCAGGTATGGATCATTTTAGCTAAAGTGATAAATTTTGGAACTCAGAAATGGCCTACTCCACTTGGTTTTAAATTTTGACTTTTATTGTACAAAATTTACTGATGGTAACTGATATGATTATGCTTACCTAATTTTAGGTGGCGGCTGTACCACAAGACTTGAAATAATGGCATCTGAAGTTACTTTGCTGACAACAGGAGGCTCATCGCGACATGATCGCAGCAATAGGGTAATTGAAGGGTCTATAACCAGGATAAATTTGCAAATGAGTGACAATGAATTTTGAAAGAAAAACAAACAAAATGGATTTAGCAGTTAGAATAACCAAGTAAAACAGTTATATTGCTGACATATCCCCCAACTTATGCCCCATTCATACCAAAGCTTAAACAAGTAAAAGGTTGTAAAGATATTTAGTTTAAAACACGGTTTAAATTTGTTTTGTTTATCAAAGCTGCCGACCGTACTTTTTTCGATTGCAAATTTAGCGCAATTATGCAATGTGTAAAAGATCATTTCAACTCTGTGTAAAAGCCTGTGTTCTAGCATACTGTTGCTATTTTTTCTTTTTCAAAAGCTAGTTAAAACTAAACGAATTCCTGATTTACCCTTAAGAGCTTCTCTGAGGTCTTCAACTGCATTTTCAACTTCTGTAACTTCAATGTCATTTACTGAAAGAATTTCATCTCCTGCCATCACACCTTTAAGATAAAAATAGCTGCAATTTATTGATCTCATTATCAGAGGATTTATTATCCAAATATAAAAGAATGTTTCTTTATTCTTATAAAATTAATATTTCTCCATAATTTTCTGATTGGCTTTAATATCCTGGCTAATTCTTCATAAACAGCAGGCAATGATTCAATTTCAACCATGGTTACATCATACTGTACCACCACTAATGTCCATCACATAGATTTTAAATTAAGACTGTATATTGCAAATAATCCATGACTATATAATGTCACACAAGACAGTGGCATGCCAGCTTATAGCTGTTTTGGCATGAGTGATGAACCCAAAAAGAGTTCACGGACACAATCATTTATTACCTTGAACATGCGCCAGTCGTCCTTCTTCTACAGCACTGACCACAATTCCTTCCCCCTTACCTTCCACTGATAAACCTGACAACATTTTAATACAAGTAGATGAGTTTTACAATTCAAAATTAAGTATGATTCCCGGATCTCATTCTTTAGTTTCAAAAATTTCAATTTCAATAATGGACTCAATATGAAGTAGACATATGACCTTGCATCTGTTAAGAACACTATTGCCTAATCAGATCAACACTTTTAAGGAAATAACTGAAGCTACAAACAAATCAAAAGTCTTAAAGTAAGGTTTACCCACCAAAGTCTAATCTGTCAATTTCCATAGAGCGTGCTAGTTCAACAGTAAACACACATTTCTGGCAGAGTTTTAGAGAGCTGTATTTCTGTTAAGAAAAAGAAATAGATTTAAGGTACATTTACCCTAATACCTACATGTAACTAATGCATAAGGGCCTCTTTTGGATAAAATTGGATAAAATCAGTTTTTTGACATATAGGTTACGTCAATCCATGTATCTATTATTCTCAACACAAATTTCAAAACAAAAAAATTCTATAATAACTTCCAAGTTCAGTACTTAAAATCAACCAAGATCATGAAGTATGTAAATAAATAAAATTATAATTAAACATGCAATAGATATTATCTCAATAATATTTGTAAAACTTACATGATCTTCTAACAGAGAATCTTGCAAAGGAGTGATATATTCTGGAAAACAAGGTTATTTAGATTATTATGTATACAAATTTGGAAAAATAGACAAATACTGTCCACAACACACATAAATTTCATATAAGGACATGCCTTTCACTCCTAGAGTTAACGAATATAGAATTCAGTGTTATATTTTTTGTCCTGTAAATAAAAACAATAATATGCATGGTTTTTCTTTTCACATGGCAGCTGGTCATTTTGGCAACATCCTGTGAACTACTTTAGTCTTCTTCATAAAAAAATATACCTTGGAACTTTACATGATTATTTGAAATAGCCGTATGTTTTTCGCCTTATAAATGTAAGATTTTTTCCATTTTTTTTTTAAATGTAGGAGTTAATTCAAGAATTGTTGAGTGGTAAAAGTCATGCAATGTAACAGAACAACTGCAAGTTAATGCTTAATTTAAATACATAACTTTTTCATTAACATATATTACATGTATATGGCTGGTTCCACAAACAGGCAAAATATAGCAAACCCTGCAACCTACCCAGCTACCTTAGGAGGCAAACTGTGCCTATCTTGCCAACTTGGGCAAAGAAATTCACAAAAAAAATCAAATTCCTCAGTGAAAATCCTTAAGAAATAAATACTGTAGTTCTGTGCAAAAGTTCTGCCAAACAGGTTTCATCTAAGTGTTAAAGCAATAAAGTTAAAGAGTGAGAAATAATCTTGCCATAACATGGTCTACATGCAAAAAGAATCACCTGTTGAACCAGAGGAATCTTCAACGCCAAGTTTGAGAAAGTATGCCTCTGGCTCTAGTTGACGTTTGCTACAAGTGTTTTCCACCACTTCTAGAACAGTCATCTCATTATGTAAAGGTATAACTGTGCTTTGGTTGTTATCTAAGCTAATACGTAAGAAGTTCCCCATGCTTTTCCAGTCTGAGTGGCTTGATGACAATGAAGCACTCTCCACCTGTATTGTACCCTCTTCCTCTAGAATGTCATCCTGGATGCTGTCTAAGTTGGTTTGCCTGCAAACAGTTTAATATATTTGGTGATAAGTCAAAACAATTCATGCTTAAAGTGTGCCAACAAATCACATCTGAAATTGAAAATTCAGCTGCAGTTTTTGATCAAGTGACACCTTAAATCCTGCAACCAGTGACACAAAAGGTCCACAAAGGAGCATGTTTGTACATTTTATTTTTGTCAGTTTCCCATTTTTAGGAGTTATAATCTTAAATAGGAAAAAATTTCAAAATGATCTTAACTAGTACACATTTTGAGATTCTGTAAGTATAATCATTGCTCTCACCGTTTCACCCTTGGAGTTCCTCCAGACCCTTTTCCTCCTGAGTACCGATCTCTAATAGACTTGACACTAGCAGCATCATTAATTCTTAATGAAGTTAGTAATGCACTTTTCAGCTTGCCGACAGAGCTTGCTGACCGCTTAGCTTTATTTCTTGTCTTCACTTCCTCCTCAGTGTTAGGATCTCTAGCACTGACCACAGCATGGAAAGACATAACAGAGAAAATGTTCAATCTGGAGAGAGTCTGTTTGGTGCTTCTAGAAACACAGGCTAGCAAGGTTTGAGGATTTGGCAGATGACTTCCACGAATTGCTGCTATGTAGCACTGAAGCCGATACAAGTCAATATTCAGGTGCTCTAAGTTTTTGTCCCACTTTGAAATCTGAAAATGCATTGTATTGGTTAGTGTTATTTAGCTTTATTTAGCTTTGGTGGAAGGTCTCTGAAATGACTCTCTCTCATTTTCATCTGAAGAAAAGTTAGCAACTTTATTGTTGAAAGGACTAATGAAAAAGTTAATATGACAAGTCTTACAAGAAAATATGGTTTTATCAGACCTGATGTGTAAGTAGATAATAAAGGGCAAATTACCAGTAACAACCATGATTATACTTTGCTCAAGCAATGACACTTCTGTGGAATACCCAACTTTTAACATCAGTCAATCAAGGCAATATCCACTTCAATAAGCACGATGTTGCCATTTTTCTTTCTTTGAAACCTAATGGATATTTTCACTCATGTTTGAAGCAGCAAGGGGGATTTGACAAATTTGTGTTGTCAACATAATTATCATACTTCAACCAAATTAGCTGAGGCTCAAATTCTCAAAATCCAGGCAAAATCCAAAAAAACCAAGCCTTTAAGACAACCCTGAAAACTCTTTTTGGTCCAAGCAAGGTGCTAACTTCATGTATGTACGTACATCTCATCTAACACTTTGACATAAACCATTTTAAGTTGTAGCGGAAGTGCCAAGGGTGTGTTTATGCCTTAACTGGACTTACCTGATCAAGGAAAGCTTGTTTGTTCTTTGAATCAGTAACAACAGTGGACTGTAGCTCAGCCATTTTCTTAAGTTTAGAGTCTGAAGAAATTTTGGCTTCCACTCTTTTTATTTCAGTGGTGAGGATGCGTACCATTTCATGTTTTCCTTTCTGTCCAGAACCAGCCACGACTGAGGCAGCCATGGAATGAATTGCTGTTATCCAGTTCTCAAGGTCAGTTTGGTTAGATGCCTGTCATAATAGTTTGAATGATTATGTGATACACATCATTTTAATATTCAGAGAAACACTGACACACATCCATGACATTACATATGACTGCCTCATCAATATCTAAACACTCGAATCTGATTTAAATTAAAATCATATCATGTCCTAATTCTACAACATTCAGTTCCCCAGTCATGATTTTCCCTAGTTTTTGGACTAGTAGGATGTCTAGTGATTTGGATAGTAAGTTACCAACACATGAATCAATCTGCTTGAAAAAACAGACCGGTCAATCTCCAAGAAGATTAGTTGCCTATCTACTCATCTGCTGTATAATAATATTTGTTGCCCAGAGTCAAAGAATCATCAAAACATCTGAGAACTCAAACAAGCCTACTACCCTGTGTTAACATGGAGTGCTCTAAAGCTAGTTTTATTAATAGACTGTATTTTAAATATACTTTTACTTTTTAACTAATGATATTAAACATGTAAATATAGATATGTATTTTTACTTGAATATTCAATAAAGACATTCATTATTATTATTATTATAATATAAAGTTAGATCTATGTAAATATTTCAGGGCTGGTATGATCCTTATCCCTACAACCAGGCCTACCAATTTACAGCTGTATATGTCCAGATTTTCAAAATTTTCATGGACATACAGGGTGCTTACCATCTGATAGAAAATTTCGGAAATTCCGGATGGAAGCCAAGGTCAATGGTAAGGTCACTTTTCGGAAATTTCAACAGAAAATTGAGGAGTAGGTTTTGAGGTAGTCCTTTCATCTCCGTTGGTACAAACCAAATGGAATGTTGCTTACCATCAGCCAATTTCTCGGTTCCTTCCCGGTTCCAGACTCATGCTACACAAATTTGCCCTTGATTTGGATTCAAAGCGACGAACAGATGTAGTATTTCTACGGTAAAACTGGTAAATCGCTTACCATTATGCTTTCACCCCAACCGGATTTTTCTGTCAAATAGTAAGCACCCACAGTGTACAAACCAAAACTTCATTGTAATTTCATTGTGGCATTATTATACTTTACAAAATAACTAAGATAGTATGCGTGCTCTGATTGGCCGAGAGGAGTGTTTGCATGAGAGTATGTAAACATGGTTGTGCATCAAGGTGCTTGGCTTTTAGCGTGCTAATCACGCAAGCACGAATTTCAAAAGTTTTCGAGTTCAAAACTCGACAAGTTTACTTTATTTACCCATTCCTTCATCGGCTGAAACATGGAAAATCGTTACAAAGAAGGTGAGTCAATTTTTCTTCGCTTAACCTGACATTTTAAGCGAGAAAAATCCATATTTTTTAAAGCATCTTTTTGCAAAACAAGAACTGATTACACGTGCAAGACTTTGTGGACAAGATTTTGCAACTGGTAAGAATTTCTCTTTTAATCAGTGCCATACAAAGAGTTTTGCGTCTTTTTCTGGGGAAGGTTATTTTATAAAAGCAATAGAAAACTTTTTCCCTGCATTTGCATAGCATGATATAAACACTCGAGGCATTGGGAGAATTCTCAACAGTTATACAAACCCTCAACTTTGTCTCGGCTTTGCATAACTGTCTCGAATTCTCCCAGCCCCTCTCATGTTTATATCAGGCCATGCAAACACGGAAAACGTTTTCTATTGCTTAAATGGTGTTTACACACCTCATGCAATCAGTCTCACAGAAACTTTAAACGGCTACTATTTGTGTGGTGACCCCACTGTTTTTGGGGTTTTAGCTGCCCTGAAATTAACATTCTGTCAGTAATGATTACTACTTTTAGTAATAGGTATATGCCATCACACTAACTGTACAGGCCCGGGTTGCTTGAAGCATGGTTAGTGCTAACCAGTGTTAAATACCATGGAAACCTATACATTTTGATACCTCTTAACCAACGGTTAGCCCTAACCAGGCTTCGAGCAACCGGCCCCTGGTCTATAAGGTTTTGTAGTCAGCTATTGATCATGGGTAGTAGGAGTACATGTGGTAAGGCATCTAACCCATTTCTTCTTACACTACTAGTCTAAACTTACTATGGGCTATTTTACCTGGAAAAAGTATGCTTCACCAAGTCTGGAGCTGACACTAAACACATGGTCTAACTTGGCATGTTCAGGAACTGCCTGTGCAATGCACCCATCAATCTCCAAAGAAAAATTTGGTTCATCTAAGTCTTGAGGACTCACAGTCTTTTCATTGCAAAAATAAAAATTCAGAGCACCATTTTTCAGTGAAACCCAACATTTACGCCACTTCCTATCTGAAGCTAGTTCCACTTTGCTTGACTTTAATCTCACAAGAACGTGCTTTACAGAAAGCCACCCTGCCTTGCGAGTGGCCCCACCCTGGCGAGACTGAGCGATACCAGACTTTGGTTTCACATCTACATCTGTTCCACAGCTACTGTTCAGGTCTAGATCTGCATAACCATGAAATGAAGCATTGACTTCCTGCAAAATATTAACCATTAAAAAAGTTAGTGGTAATTAAGTACCTAACTTAATTGTAATCTCTACATTCATCTTCATGTGATCTGTGCTTAGAAAACTAAATGTTGTACATGTTAACAAAATGCTGGATTTTACTTCAAGCCTAAAATAAATATGATACACAAGGTAGTGGTCATTGAAAGCTGTGCCGGAGACTGATACCCATGATTGTGAGCGCACATATGAACACTCAATTGTTTACAGGCCTTAAGAAAGCAAGCCAAAGGGGTAAGATTAACAATGAAAACAAACAGCAATAAGGCATGAATCCTAAACAAAACAAGCTTTTTAAAGATCATGAAGATAATACCTCACCATTATTTTCTAGAAGACTGTATCTTGATGTGCACAAACAGTTGAACATGTACACTTTTGTTACCAAACCCACCTCAAGCCCCCTTGAAACAAAAGAATTCTCTTACCACAGGAGAATTATTAGAATTCAAGTCTGCCATATTCTTGAAGTAACTCAATTCAGCTGAGTCATCCAAATCTGACAAGTTACTTCTTGAACTAACAGAGTAATCTGAGTCACTAGCAACAGACAGGCGTGCTGAGAGTTCATTCTCATGAGATGCAGATATGCGAGACACTCTGTGGGGTTCAACTGAGTCACTGCTTACATCTTCCATACCAAAACCACTGTCCCCTGGATCACCATTGCTGGGTTTATTGGCTATTGGGGTACTACTGCGTGAGCTGATGGAGCTGCATTGTGTTTCCATGGCATCAAGAGTACTGCTGGAGTTGTAGTGGTCTCCCCCACCATTGTGTAGGGTACCATTAGTGTGTGCTGATTTGAGGTTCAATTCGATGTCATTTATCTGGATGGTTGGTGCATCACCAGACCCTTGGCTATCTTTTCTGGCACAATTTATCTAAATCCAGAAAACAACAATATAATATTGTCAGATCCATATTTTTTAAATGTTAGGACAATATTATGCCACCTTTAAAGTCATGATAATTCATTACAGGCGTATTCAATGTTTGAAGTACAATTAACATTTGTCACACAATCAAGAGAATAATGCCTGCAATTCAAGCCCTTACCTTGGTCTCATGATGACGCACACTTGACTTTGGATGACTGGATGATGAGGGAGCTGACGATGATGTATTGGACACTGAACGCACACGTCCAGCCTGTGATGAATATTTAGAACAAGGGCATTGAGTTTATCAGAAGTAGTGGGGACATTCGAATACACTTTGATTAAATCATCTGACACTCTAGAGAGTTTGTTGCCAGAGCCCAAAACATATGTCCTTACTGTGTTCAAACTTCAAAAGCTAACATATGTTGTACTTAAAATATCACATACACAGCAAAAGTCCAAGAACTTCTGAGCTTCTTCTTCTGAAACAAAGTTGAGTCCCCAGGCATGGTTCTCTACAATTATTAAATAAATTATCAACCAGTTAATTAATTAACTAATTAATACAGTTAACAGTATTTAAATGAAAATAACCACAAACTCATTAATAAGAGATGTGGTTTTGGCTGGCAATTACAATATAATTAACATTGATAAGTACTCTTAGACTAGAATACAGCTTATAACTGGTCACTTCATATAATCTAGACTATAATTAAATAATTAAATTTAAGACTTACTTGATTTACGATTCCTCCATTGGACAAAACATTCTGAGGTCTTTTTCAGCCGAATTTCTGAAAATGAATTAAGAATGATTACATTTAAGTAAGCTAGAACTTAGTGACACATTGCCTTAAAGTTCATCAAAACTGTTGATTCTCTTTACAGATAAAGAGCAGCAAGCAGAATGGATCAGTTGATCACAGTCATGGTGAAGGACTAAGTTTTTCGGTGAAGTAACCGGTTGTTTCATCCAACTGCAGCTTATTATTCAGAGCTTAATTTACCACAATGCTACTCTCTTTCTGTGTGTAAAAAAACAATTTATTCATGAGTAACCTTTCAAGTTTATCTCTGCACTGAAAACAGCCTCATTGTTCATCAGTGCTGTGACAAGAAACACATCTTCCTCATCCACCTATATGAGCAATCAAATAAATATTAATTAATTATGATGTCATTAATTCATTTATTCAATCATTTATTCATTTATTCATTCATTCAATGTTAAAAGTAGATTTATTTAACAAATTTTTATAAAACGCTCATATTGTAGATCCCTCAATTAGTTCAATCTGTCCTTGATTCTATTTTTTTCAAATCTTGATTTATTACCATTTTACTTAGGTACATTTAATGTCGCAGGAACCCAGGCATCATTTAATTGTTTTTAAATGTTTATTAATTCCACCTTTTCTGGGTCTATCAGAACAGTCTCTTTGTGCTGCCAGTTTGTTTTCTGTGACAGAGGGGGGCATAAGGGTTTTCTGGGTTTAACTTTCATGGTATCGGTTTCAAAAGACTAAGCGGTTTGACAACCTTTAAGTAGCGGTTTTCGGTGCAAAAAAAAGTCTCACTTTTAGAACGGTCGCCGGTTGTTTTGCAAGCAGTGTTTTGTTTTCTGTGGTTTGCAATTCACGACAGATTCAATGCGCATGCTGAGGTCGTCGAGATCGCAAGAGGACGTAATAATTGATTGCGTGGCAATCTTCTATGAAGAAGGAAAGGAAGGGGAGAATTTCAGAGGAGCTGTGCTTTATAGCACAGGGTCGTCCAAAGTAATCAGTCACGCAATGTAAGACGTACAGGATCAGTGACAGAGTTTTTCAAAGTCAAGGGAGACATCAATACTCGTTCAAGTACATGACCAGCATACTCGGCATTTGGTTAGTAGTAAACAGAGTATAATAGTGTAGTACAATATATCGTTCGCGTTATGATGGCATGTTTAATACTAACGCACAATGTTATCAGAATATATCACACGTCTTGCTGACGTCAGCTTTCATATTGTGGCCTACATGTACGCGCGGTTTCGGTATTTGGGAAAAAAACCGATGCGGTTTGCGGTTTTTTGGCGTATTTCTGTGCGGTTTTGCGGTTTTCGGACCCCCCTTACGCCCCCCTCATGACAGCATGCACTAGCTACTGCTGTGGTGAACTGCAACATTTAGTAGGGTAAGAATATTACCGCAAAAATTAACAAAACAATAAGTTTAAATTTTACATGTTATATTGGTCAAATTGATTTCAGGTTAAAATTCTTTAACCTTAGGTAGGAGACAAAGAAAACTGAGAATAAACCCACATGAAGGTTAAATCAAAATTAACATGAAATCAAATTTGACCTCAGCTATCACAATGTATGACTGGCAGAGAAACAGTCTCCATTAGCGATCATACCCAATACCAAATACCAAAATTTTAATAACCTACTAACTATTGTGCATGGATTGTTTCAGAAAATCTGTTAGTTGCCCTCCACTTTTGTTGCATCAAGAACTTAAGTATTATTATTAAAAACAGAGACAGAAATTTCCCAAGAATCCTTACACAACTCGATCCAAAGCATGGATTGTTTTGTGCGACTAGATTGTCATGAAGCTAATTAAATAACATTCTGGCAAACTCACCTTTTTCCGGTGAATAATAATTGGTATGACACTTTCTATGACAGGTACCCATCTTAAAGGACCCTCATCTGTAGATAATGTGTTCACCTCAGCCAGAGAACTGTTTAAGAATTTAAGAATGAGGAGCATTCAATAGACAGGTATCACATAATATGAAAAAATTAATACAAGATAGATAAATTACCTCCTTCATTTAAGATGCATTTTCTGTTCAAAGTTTAGGCCCTTTTTACAAAATAAATAATTCATTACAGTATATACATGAGAGGGTTCTTAATCTATTTGTACACAGCTGAAAAAAATTTGGAAGATTCATTTTAATTTAAAGACAATTGACCAAATTTACCACACTAAAATAGTATGCTTGATATAAATTTACAAAAGCTTGTTCTTGCCACTATTTCCTTGAGACTAGACTGCAGTAACCAGTGATAAAACTGTTGAAAACATCATATATTTTAAAGGACATTTAATTTTTTCCTCATAATTTCTTAAAATTTTATATTATTTTCAAATTACAAGACAGTGTATCTGTTTCTTCTTTATCTGCATAGGTAACACATCTTATGGACTTACAATAACATTCAACACCACAGCTCAACTGACAGAATTTTAAAGTAGGAACTGCAACATCATCCATAAAGGTTTCGCTTGATATCAACTTGATACCAGCCTGACATACAGTGCTGCACTATCGTTGCTTTAAGTTTATACTTGACATGCATTATTGATAATATGAAGTGAATCAATAAGTTTTGTCTTTAGAAATTCTGAGATGTTACATTATACATTAATTTGCAACACATATAAATAATAGTGCTTTTTAGTTTGAGACAGAAATGCTTGTTGGTTTGAAACCACTAAGGTCTTGTTTGTTAATGATTTACATTTAAATACTAAACAACACCCCAAGACATTGCAATATCCCAGTGGGGGAATTAAATGAATTCTTTGTGAATGAATATGAAAAGCGTGTGTAAAGACAATTATAATTGCAATCACACAGTGAGCTTAATTTCATTAAAGGCAAAATTTATTCAACAGATAATTTTCATGATTGTGTTGGTGTCCGAATTTTTATATGTACATTTCTCATTTTTTGTTCTTTCAAACGGGAACTTCTATAAACAAGTTCTGCAAAAGGACAAAAAATTCACAGCTGTATAAATATAAAAAAAATAGTGAATAAATATACAAAAAATAGTGATACCCCTATACTTTCAGTTTGAAAAATGCGGATCATTGATTCGTTTTGCTAGCAAAACGTTTCCCAAGGTGAAACATCTATTAGGTGATTTAAAAAAGAGTAATTGTGTGACACGGTAAATTCTAAATTGTTATAAATCCGAATTCAAATTTAACCTTCTTTTAATAACATATTTGAGTAGTGTAGAAGCCGTACATAGCAGAGTGATTTTCTATTACTGTTCGATATATAGTTGTTGTTCCTTTCTCTCTTACCTAACTTTTATAATTTTTAGTTTATTTCATTTGTTGTCATATTGATTGCTTTGGTACTGAAATCTTCATGTCGAAGATAAAGTCAATAAAGTTTTTGTCTTTAGAAAAGACTTAGCTGGTCAAAACTAAACTCATTCAAGCTAAATAAAAAGAAAAAAAATTATATAAGACATATATGTTTTCAAGAGCACCCTTTACTGTCACATCATCACCATACTTTTTATCTTCGACTATAAAAAAACAGACTTTCAAAAAAGATTCATGTTAACTTAATGAAAATTGTGTACACAAAAGCCAACCCAAACAAAATTGCAGACCAGCATCGTAAAAGTATCAATTTTTGGCGACTGTAAAAATCCTAGGAGCGGTTTTTACAGCTCTATTATGCCTGGTACAAACCCCACTAATATCAAAACTATCGAGTTGATAAGAACTCATTGTTAGTTTATCGTTTTTTTTTATTGGTTTAATTATCCTGAGGTTAATTTTTTTATTTGACAACTGTTGACTGTTATGCTAGTTGCAACAGTTATGAATTAGTATCAGGAAATTACCAATTGTAAAACGCAGATCATGTATTAAATTTTAATACATGATAGCGAGCAAACCTCGGGCTAATATACATGCATGTAAGCTTACATTCCCACGACATAATTGTAATCGAAACGATCATTAATATAAAATACATGAACAAACTTTGATAGGATTGATAGTTATATACAGTGACTGTTTTACTGAGACTATATTAAAACATAAAAAAGGCCATTAAAAGCTGAACAATGCGGTCATTCTTTCACTTCAAAACCTAGAATGTATGCACATACAACGGAAGACCCAAAGAATATTGTGATATTTGTGTCAGAAATTTTGAAAGGTAATACTGTACGACCATAGATATATTGTCGATAATAAGCATGAAATCAAATAGACAGCAAAATTGATGTTTCCTGAAACCCTCCGCTGTAGGAAAATAAACGAAATCTCAAGTAAGGGTGTCAAAAATTGAACCTTCTTTATCAGCGAGTGGCGACGATATGCAGCCAAAAAGTCACCGTGGTAATGTAAACAAATATTGCAACCATACAAGCTAATTGTGATTGATACCGGTGAGAAAATGTTTACCGTATAACTTGAGTCCCTTCATCTTTGCTCCAGTTCTCAATGTACTTTTTCACTTCATGAGGTTGGAATCCATTTGCATTGGAAGGAAACAAACCGATCTGGTCCCCAATAAGGGGACCAGATGGTTGGCTATCTTTGTTTCCAATATTGTCTTCGTTGGCTATCCCAAGCTCAAGACGCCATGGCGATCACGCGCCGGCTTCATCTGAAAATCCCAAGCATGAGGTAGTTTATAAGTGAAAACGAAGCGACGTTGTGTCTCTGTTACGAAAAGGCTTACACAACACGCTTATCGTATTTGAAATGAATGTTTCTTTCAAAGAACTTCTTTGTCTTGAAGACTTAAGGTATCAACTTATCATTCATGTTTGGCGAGTCATACGAGAGCGAAAGCAAAGCCTATTAACTGAACGAACTCTCACAACTCTTAATAGAAAATTTCCAGTTCTCAACAAATCTACTGACTATGGATTTGAAAACGTACAAGCAGCTAAAGCTTCGACAAGCCACTTCTAAGATCACAAGAACACTCGAAGTTAAAGTAATTGTACATTTTCCTAACAAAAGTAACTCCCGTAAGAACTACAGAAAAGTCAGCGACATAATTACCTGCAAAGCAAGGGCCAGCTGCAAAGAATCAATTCACCTGTGCTTGAAGACTTTGCTCGCTTTTCAATTAGCCAGTTAACATAGTGTAAAAGGTTCTTTAAGCCCGAAAAACCGCGTTTACGGGTCCGCGGCAGTTTTACTACTCCGTAGTTACAAAGGATTCCGCGCTGTGATTGGTTCGCTGGCTAATTAGCATCACATACCTGTGCTCCTCAGGGGAATACGTGATTAAAGTCAGACAAGCTATGGGATTATTTTAATGTGATCCGTTGACTCACCGTTCCGCTGTATTCTCTCGAAATTTCATTCATTGTTTGGTACCGAACTAAAATGAAGGAATAAAATAGATCTAGAGAAGTACAATACATCAACTACCCCAGGAGCGGGGATGTCTTAAAAATACACTTTTGGTTACTATGAACTTTAGGGCGGAACGTGATAAAATACTAAGCTTTTCAAAGGAAGGGGTTAACTGAAACGGAACTTTATTCCCAGGCGATTATGGGTCGATTTTCAATATTCCAAGTACAATCGGTGCTTGTTGACGCGTAGGATCAGTGAGCTAAAAATGGTGAATTTTTTAAAAAGACAGAGAAGCCGAATACAAAGTTTTGGCGGCAAAATTCTTTCCGTAGTGTGTATTACCTACTATTAAATAGACTAGTATTTTCACGGGATTTTTCTGTCGTCACACCGCTAATAGAAGCGTTGCATGACGTCACAAAGAATGACAGGCAGGCTGAGAGGTAGCCTGACCAGGGAAGAGCCGAGAGACTGTCTTGGAGCGCTTACCATTTGTATGGAAAACACGGTAATTCCAAGGAGAATTCAAATGGAACGGTTCATCCCGGTGGAAAATTTCCGGAAAAAAAGTAATTCCTTTCAGATATTACCTTTTTCCCGTTTTGACCGAAACGACCAAAATTTTTTGTACCACTCTGGTTAACCAGCTCAAGTGCCAAGCTTCCTGTTGAGGCGGAAGGTGAAAAATGGCGGTCATTTCCCAGGAGGGTTATGGTGTTTTGCAAATGGTACAACTCTAACACGTTCCTCTTTTCGGAAACATTTTCAAGTCCAGTACCATTTGTCAGAAATCTTTTACCGAAATTTCCTAACAAATGGCAAACGTTCTTGGACTCCCCTCGTTTTCCCCGCGTAGTATTTCACTGGCTCCCCACCATCTGTACTTCCCGCTATACTATCTGAACGCCTGGAATAGGCTAGCCATAAGAGGAAAATTTGTGTAGGAATTAGTAGAGAGATTAAGACTAACGTTTACGAGAACGCCAAACGTCAAATTCAAGTTGACAATTTATCAGAATAGAAAATAAGCAGATAAAAACTGTCCAGAACAATTCTTATGGATAAAACTAGCGTGAAACTACTTATTTTTGTGTAGAAGTAATATAAACGACAATTAAGGGGGAAACTTGGTCACGTGGTACAAATTTACGTTTGCCATTTGGCGAAAACATAAGTGCAGAAAACACTAACAAAATGAAAGTCATGAAAAAGACTGGAAATAAAAAGTAACTGTCAAGAATCTAAATCTGCCTGAATGCAATAGCCTCCGCCACAGACGGAATCCCTAAACTTCGGGTTGCTCATTAAAAAATTACCCTAAAATTTCTCAGTTCATTGGCAAATCTTTTTCTTACCGAACCGTCACCTTTTTCAGGTAACAGAGCTATGCTGTGACACCACCGTAAATGACGCATATCCACTTTCTGCATGCGGATTTAAAACAAACAAACATGCATACGTTAGATTGACAGTCTGTGTAGCTGGCGCTTGGAAGTAGTGGGCAAAAGAGAGAACGGGCGCGCCCGAGGGAGACACGCGAAGGGTGAAGCGCCTGCTACACAGGCTAGTCTGTGTGTACAGTCAACTCCCGATAATTCGAACCTTCGAGAAATAGCAAAAAGTTTGAGGCATCGGGAGTTCGAGTTCTCGAGGGTAAAATTATATTGAAAATGATCTGAAGAGAATTGAAAATTGCTTTGAGTTAGCGGGAGCTTCGAATTATAGAGGGGTCCAGTTACTGGGAGTCGACCGAACTTCAGCCCCGGGGGGAGTTCTCAAGGGAAGTTTGGATAGAGGTGTGGCGCCCAGGCCTTGAAACTCTTACCCTGATTAAGAAAAAAATCGTTCATAGACACCTCATTCAATGACCCTGACTCATTTCGTTTCGCATACAGAATGAAGAAAGTTTTTAAACTATCTTCGTAAAATTAGATTTTTAAAAAATAAATTTAAGGATAAAAAACATGACGTTTCGTGGAGGACATGTCACCACATGATCAAATGCAAATGAAAAAGACTATGAAACGATATAAATAGAAAACAAAAATAAATTTGTTGGTAACAGGGATGTTGACGGCTCATCATCAAACTACATACTCTTTTAAAGGCTTTCAGTCCAAAAAAGACACCCTTTTCAAGACGCTAAATAATAAAATTGTATGCCTTAAGACTCAGGGCCCTGAAAATTATTCCCTGTCAGAGGCGGATCCAGGATTTTTTTTAGGAGGGGCTGCACTCGTCTCTTGCTCTACTTCAATTCCAATAAACCACTTTTTTTGTTTTGTTTTGGCAGAATACCAGTTGTATTAGAAAACGGCAGGTCATCTCAGGGGGTGCGCACCCCCTGCACCCTCCCCCTAGATCCGCACCTGCCTGTTAAGCGGCACATATACCCCGTTAAGGCCAGGAGCCGATTGTTAAGGCCAAATAGTGCCCTTTTGGCTTCAGCCTATCTTTAACACTTATCTCAAATTGCGACCGAAAACGTATCTGGACCCCAAGTACCAGAAATGCGTCTTGAATTTCTTTTCAACATAGGCGTACAGTAATTTTTTTGCTAAGGGGTTGGGGGGTGCAGGGGCCGGTAAACCATCTGCGCAAAATATTCTTGCAAGTCGCCCAAATTTTTACGAAACAGTCGAAGAGAAACGAGGGCCACACGATGCAACACCATAGGTCACCATCACCATTTGAAGTGAAAATACTTTTACATATATATATCGTAAGGAAGGCTGATAAAACACGTCACGTTAAAAGAAATAGCCCTCTTTGCCGTTTTGACGGCCGAAGATATCAATGATACGATCCATGTCATTGTTGACTACAGAGTTGGCATATGCCCTTTCAATTTTAATAAGTGCGATGTTACTGACACGTTGTTGCCCCATGGTGCTGCGGAGGTACGTTTTCACTCTTCCCAAAGCAATGAATGCTCGCAACCTCGTCCTCAGGCAGGTTGGAATGCTCGTTTTTCAGAACAAAATGTAGGCAGGTATCACTCCATGGATATGTACCACGTTAGAAAACACTGAGAACATATTAAATAGATCATTCTCGTGCACCATTTCTGGAACAGTCATGTAGTCTAATCCTCGCACTTGACGAAAACTCGCGTACAATTCCTGCTCGACTTCGAGAATCTCCCCATGGATTTTTAAAAATTTAGCAACGCGAGAGAAGCTTTCTTTATCAGGTGTTTAGACTACGAGTAGTCCCCCATTTTTCCTCAGGGATAGTAGAGCGAGCGAAACGCGATCGTGCGTGAAAATCACCCCACGCTCTCGTGTTTAGCTCGCTCTACTATCCCTGAGGAAAAATGAGGGACTACTCGTAGTCTATGAGGTGTTTCACTGTGACAGATGTTTCACTAAGCACAGAGTATTGCTAAACCTGAGCTCAAGCTCGAACAGGAGTCAATGTTAATTTGTTGGTTAGCCTGCGCAACAGACGAAACTTAACTCTGGTTAAGTGCCCTGGGCCTCCACTTGTTTACCAGGATTCAGAGGATTTGAGCGCCACGATTGGCCTTTTAAAAAAGCCATTGTCGATTTGCTATTCAGGATGAAATGAAATTTGAAACGCACTTCCGGAATAAAAAAATTGGGGAGCTGCAACTAGGGCTTTCAACAAGTTGCTCGACATTTCTCCAACAGTTTCCCGAAATTTCTCAAAAAGTTGCTTAAAAACTCAAACGAAGTTCAGAAGTTGCTTTTTGTGACGAACGTTGCTCAAAAGTTGCTCGAAAAAACAAAAACTTTTCATGGGCTCCTGTCAATATCAAAATTTATCTTTTAAATTTTACTATGAGCCAATAAAATTGTTGAATGACCTTCTTACTTCACCTGAGAGTGAGACTGGCTCTGGTGCCCAGGCCTAAGTTTATGACTCCCTCCTGGACTGGCTTCGTCCGCCATTTTAAATTTCTAGTTTAATAACCGCTGACCAATGCCAGTGTTGAGAGTCTTTTTACATCCTTAGCCTGGAAAAAGCTAGAGGCTCAACGGAAATTCAAACTGCAGCTATGGTTTATAAGTCTCTAAATGGCCTTGCCCCGAAGTAGTTGATTTCGTTGTTTTTCCTATCGTAAAGAAGTCTCTAGTTACTCTCTCAGGGATTCCGAGGGGAAGCTAGCTATTCCACTGCCCCGTACTAATTAGAGCTGTATGTTAAAAACAGTTTCAGCTACAGAGGTTCGGTGCTGTGGAATAGTCTACTTATTGAGCTGCGGCAAGAGCAAACTCTTTCCCCTTTTAAACACGGCTGCAGTGATCTCTTTTGAAATATGTCGATAATTACGGCAATCGTGTAAAGCAGGCACAATTTTTTTTGTTTTAAAGAATCTTATTACAATTAATTAGTTAAAGTTTCAATTAGTTTTTGTAGTAGTTCACTTAGCCTGATGATTTTTTAACCGTGGATAAATAAAGTTATTGTTGTTGTCTTTGTTGACCTAGCAGCACGGCTGCATGCATCTTGTGCCCATGTTCTGCCCCAGGGAGGAGGATCTGGCTACTTTTTCACAGGAAATTCATAAATTGTCTCTTAAACATTGTGAAATTTTTAAGAAAGGAGAATTTAAGCACGAAAGGTTGTTCCGATATCTCAGAATTCGGCTACTAGAGAAATTTCTCAGAATGCAAAAGTTGCTCGAAATACGAGAAGTTGCTAAAGAGTTGTGGAAAGCACTCCCCTTCCCCGCCCCCCGCCCTCTGGCCCCCGTATGTCTATGCTTTTCAACCTGATTGGCAAATTAACAATGGCTTTTTTACAGTAACAAGCCAATCATGGCGTGTACTCAAATCCTACTTCCTACTGGCCTCTGCTCCTGAGGGTCCGACCATTTGACTTTTGAAGGGGGTATGGGTGATTTCACAAAAAAATATCCTGCAGACTGATTCGAGGGAAAAAATTCTTGCAAGGAAATATTATACCTGGCGAAAAAAGATTCCTACACTGAAAAAAATGTCTTTCGTGGCGTATGACTCTGGAAAAAATCTTACAGCGCGGCCGTTGTATGTCAGGAAAAAAGAATTCTATCACCAGTGGGTTTGGGGGAAAACATTCTTTCCCCGCCAAATCACCCATACCACCCACGGAACCCCACCCACTCCCCATCAATGTCAAATGGTCGCTGTTCCTTCCGGTTCCTCTGTTGCTCAGCTCCTCTGTTCCTAGTCTTCCTAATGTTCCCCTGTTCCTGTGCTCCTCTTGTTTCGTACCCTGCTAGCATAGCCTGCGAACGGCAGACGTTTCTTCTCGCGCTCATCCCCTTGAGGGACGTTCTCAGCGGCGATAAACGAGGAGAAACGTCTGCCGTTCGCAGGCTTCTGCTAGCAGAGTCACTTCGATCTCCCCCTCCCCCACCCCACTCTAGGAAGATCGAAGGAGACGCTGTTCGCAGGGTAGCTGTTTCTCTGCTCCTACTGTTCCTCCCGTTCCTACTGTTCCTCTGTTCCTGTGCTCCTACTGTTCCTCTGCTCCTTCATTCGTCCCTTGCTCCCTTGCTCAACGACTGCACCACTTTGCCCCAATCCTCCACGGATTAATAACTCAAGATGGCCGACACATTGGCCCATTACTTTTTTGCTGATTAATACCTGGCTTTTGCCACTGGTGCGTTGAGTAGATCTTACTAGTTCACCATTCTCTGCTTTTAAGCAATTGCTAAGCGTGGGAGTTTTAACTCAAAGAAAGATGGACCTTCACAGAGAAACAAACACCGTAGAAATACCTCGCCTGAACATACAGTGGGATTGGAAAGAGGCTCTGAGGTGTGTTGGATATATACCAGTCAATTCCAAAACCGTCCATCTCCCCTCCGCGCATAGCCCGGGCATTTGACTGGAGTTTTACTCCGTGCAGTGGGGAATTTGACCCAAATTGAGGCCTGCCCGGTCGGGCATTTGACTTTCGTGTCAAAACGAATGTCAGCTTCGCAGGCAAAGGCTTTCGTAATTCTTTCCGCATTCAGCATGTGCACCGCGTTCTCGGGTCATTGCCCCTATACTCAACGTTTTGGTAGAGCATTTGAGAGCCTTTGATAAAGCCCGTTAAATGTGGACTTTTTAGAATGAACAATTTTATTGAAATTAACAAATCTCCGTAGACAGCTTTCCGAGACTTCTATGTGTTTGTAATGGTATTGGGACTGTGTGGAGTCCAATTCGGTCTGTAATCCTACTAGTGATTAACAAAATCAGACAACTGCTTAGCAGGAGTCCGATTTGTTTAATCACGAGTATGATTATTACGGACCAAATTGGACGAGGCGAAGTTCTGTTACCAATTAATCATAACATTAACAAATTTGTGATATATAAGGCTCTTTTTAAAATCAAAACACAAGAAATTGCAAGATTTGTTTTTGCTAGCAATGAAAAAAACAGCCATTTAAGCTCGCGTATGATGGCGTATACTGTCCAATTACTTAGACATGACATGTACTGTCCTATTAAGGCTGAAATCAGGCAGTTGATAACCAATTGTTATAGTTATGATTATATAATCACATTTAAATGTAAACAGTTTGACGCATGGGAAAATTTTTGAATAGTTGCTGGTGGGTAAGGGATTTGTCACTTTTTGAATCCTTAGCCGGTGGGGCACTTCACCATCTAAACTGCCAACATACAGGGAAATTTGAGCAAAATTGTTTCAAAAAAGTCAAATGCCTAGTGGGGAGTGGGGGGGAGCATGGGCGGTTTTGGAATTAACTGTTACATTAGGTTAAATATGCCCTGGACATGCAAAACACGTTGTAAGGAAAGATGAATAAGTATGCCCCAACTAGTTTCATTAACGAATTAGGTTTAATTTTGTAAATTTGCTGTTGTCGATAGAAATCCTGGAGGAAAGGCTTGGATCTCATGTTCATGGGCTAGTAAGTATATCTGATTTTCTTAAAATTTGTTTTTAAAACTTGTAAACTAATGTTAAGTCTGCAATCTGAACAAAGCACGTATCATCCCTGGATTCAGTGCAATAGAGGTCTTAAAATCAAATGTTCCTTGTCCTCGCTTGGGACTGCTTAGTGAAACACAGTCATGTAACTTGTTGAGCTTGGGGTACCTCTACTAGCTTGAACTAAAATCGCGTTGATTATGATCTGTCCATCACAGTCCTGAATTGGAAAGGATAAAATGTACAAGAGCTGGTATTGCAATCAGTAGCAGATCTTTTGGAAAGCTGTTTTTAACTGATCTGACTTTCCTTAAAAAGAGGAAAAGCTTTCAACTTGACTAGTTGGTGAAGAAACTAATGATTTACCATTAGCTTAACTTTTGGTACTTCAGCAAGATGAGAACCAAAACCTATTGTGAGTTTTCCTTGCTTACTCCCACTATTGACAGGACTTTTCGCTATCTATACCATTAATCCTGTTCATAATTACCGGTATATTTGTCCGTTTTTCTTGTCGCCAGATTTAACCGATTAGCCCTCATCTTACATGGTTGGCAGTCAAAAAACGCGCGAAGATAGACTACTGAAAGCCAATGTCCACTAACAACAAAACAGGATACTAGGCTCTTAATGTTTTTAGTTTGTGATAAGAGGAAAAATTGTCTCATAGATCAGCCCACAGTTTATGGTGAACTTGTATCTCATGAAAATGTGGATGGTGGTAACAGGGGCCCCTTAAGTATCCAAGCTTCAGATGGATTTATATTTGAAACTGTTAACAAGGTTGGTAACTGTTAAATTAATTTTATCTTGTTATTTATTGTGGTTATCCAAGGTTAATTCTCGCATTTAAATCTGAAATCCTACCTCTCCTCACACACTCATACAGTTTTCAGGAGGGGAATCGGAAGGGTGCAAAGCGCAATTTAGTAGCAATCTTTTCATATTTTGGGTAATCTTTCATCTAGCTGGAAGTAACATTTGTTACATCTTTCATTATATCACAGTGGGAATTCTCAAACTGGGACAAGTTTTTTTGCACATGGACCAATACAATTCAAGAATTCAACTATTCAACAGTTGAAAAATTTAAAAACGTTTGAACTTAAAAAACCCAATCTTTTGGGAAACAGCCCTCAAATTTATGAATGTTGTTGATCTGTTTGCAAAAGAAAGAAAAATCCAGAATATTTTCGTCAAAAAAGTGTTGTGATTGGACAATCTTCTTCTGAGTGTCCCAGTTTGAGTCTCCGCACTGTAAGTCTATATTATAGCGGAGCTCCTCGCGCGCGCAAAGCGCGCGCAGAGCGGAGCACCATGGGTAAGAAAATTTGGTAAACTATCCATCTGAGAAAATTTGGTTATGACATAGCGTACGCCCGCCCGCCCGCCCGCCCGCCCGCCCGCCCAACCGTACACACGCTTCATGTAAGCCGATGTCAAATGTCACAAAGGATCTTGCACAACTTGACTCGCCTCTTAGTTATGTAAGCCATCCGTATGAGTACGATTAGATTGACAGCTGTCAAAATTAGGCATCCGCTGACAATTATCACATGACTATCTCGCGGGCTCAGATGAAAGACCAGTCGTTTTGCCCCTACATATAAGCGGATATAATATGTCACACTTACCAATTCAACATAAAAACAAAACTACGCTGGGCAAGGCTGTCAGTTGGCTGACAGTCGTTTAAAGATATATTGGCAAGCCAAATTAAGGTCAATTGACAGCTGTCAAAATGGGACATGTGCAGACCACTATTAGAAAACTAATAACGTGGGCTCAGGTTCGCTCAGGTACACGATCTGGCATTTTCCACTATATGCTGGACGGAGATGTCTTACTCACACTCGTAGTCTGTTAATTCGAATATTCGCCATTGTAATGAAGGTTAATTGACAGCTGTCAAACTAGAGTATACGCTGACCATCATCATCTGAGTGTATCGCGGGCTCATTAGCCTATCCATTGAGGTCACGTAGTGTTTAAAGTTTTGCGCTGATATTTTATTTGATCACGGGCTCAATTCGAAGTCCCATAGCTTAGAAAATCGATCCATCTTAGAAAATTCAGCAATCACGTGACCGTACACCGACCACCCGACCTTCTGTCCGTTCGCACCACAGGTATACCAATGTTTAATCTCACACTTTCTAGCTAGTTTGGGAGCCTGCAACCTGATATTGTACATCCATGTTTTGATTAATTGACAGCAGTCAAAATAGTGTTACTGCTGACCAGTATCGCCTGACCCTATCGTGGGCTCAGGTATCGACCCACTGAGTTCGAGTGTTTTTTAACGTATCCGCTGACAGGTTGCTACTTTTCAATTATCGCAGGCTCAAGTTCAATTTTTTTTAAAAGCATATGAAATAAGTCGAGTTCATGAGCCGCACTTTTAAAATGTTGATTTCGAACTGACCTCGGACGCCGAAAATTCAACCGGCTTTTACATTTACATGCGGGAAGGCAATCACTTTTGACTTTTCTCACTGTCACGCGTTGATCACGCCGCTACGCTCAATTTTTATGTTCTGATTGGTCAAAATTTGACAGGTGAGTTCATGCGGAAAATTTATGCAGCGCCTGGAAACTTGCTTACTGATAGCTGGAGCTTACAGAGTTTTGTGTCATCTTGTGATGTTTTAAACTGGCTGTTTCTACTTGGTTTACAAAATGAAATACAGCTGCTATCAAGATTGTTCTGTAATTCATGGCTGGTTTGTTTATTGCGCTCTTTGTTGACAAGTGCACCGCTTGTCAAAGTCATTGGAAATCGATTTCGGATGGCATCGTTTTCAAAAATGAGCCTACTCACTTGCCCTTGCTTGAGGCGTAAGAGGGTTGAAAATTCTGGAACACTTGATGACCTTCAGAAGCAGCTTCTCGACTGGTAAGCCTGAGAAATTGTTGTCTTTGATGTGTTTTTTTTTTTTTCGGTTTCCTGAAGTCGAGCGTATGGTTTATGCGGCTTAAGTTTATATACGAGCAATGATCTAACCTACAATAGTATCAGGTTTAAAAAGCCTTTAGACATTTTTTTTGACCTCAAATTCAAAGAAAATGTTCAAGATTATTTACTTATGATTTTGACTGTAAAAAGAAAGCCCTGAGCGATTTTCTTGCCTCGAGTTCATCTTGAAAAAGAGCAAACACCGGAAGCCGGCTTAAAAGATAAATAAGCTTATGCTTACCTGACTCATGATTTTCAAAGACACTTTACTCTCAATACTTCTCTTCGTGAATGAAAATTATTGTCTCTGTACGTGTTTCACCGAATTATATTTATTTTATTGATTGTTAGTAGTCCCTCTCGCAATTTTTATCGTTGCAATCGGTTGTATCCAGTCGAACATAGACATCTCATGCAGGAATACTCAAAACGCCGCGCGTAAATATCACTCGCTTTTAAAGATTACACATAACAAAACCGTCTGCAGTTTAATAAATAAAGGGAAATAAAACCTAAACATACAATTTATCTATCATGTTGAAGCGTAAATAGTAACTCTATTAATCGCACTGCAAATTTAGTACCTGTCAAAAGTGAGCCCCGTCCGCTGGCGAAAAAGTGATTTTGGGAATTTTTTTATCGTTTTCATTAAAAGCCCATTTTACCCTGCATATCACATAGGACCAGATTTTTCTAACTGAAAGTCCTGGCATTATAGAATTCTCTTCATGAAAACGTTTTATAATTCAATGCTATAATTTGTTGTGCAAAGGAAGCGCGTGCTTTGATCGTCGTGGATATTGAATGAGTGCAAATTTTCTTGCAAAATTGTGAAAAACTGCAGAATTATAGGTTTAAATAGGGCAAAAAAGAACAAATTCTGTCCGAGGTCTGTATGATAAAAACAAGGGCCTCATAGTACTGTTTACCTGAGACGTGATGAGAAAAAGTACGTTTAAAAGGCTGGTTTACACTCCACCAGATTCGTTGCCAAGATTTACTAGTAAACTAAACTTGTCGAACATAAAAAATCCGGCCTGATTTTTTATTTTGGCCTCTCTTTTAGACAGAGGAATGCAACGTGTAAATTGACTGCCACCGAGGACTATCGTGGCACCTGTGTTTCTTAAAATTATATTTCGGGGTTGTCCAATTATCCATAGTCTCTCAAACGGAGCAATGTTGGAGAGAGTGGTGAATGCCACATTATGATTCAACAGCTAATGCAAATACAATACACGAATAGGTAGGTCTATTTGTTTTCCAGGCCTAATCTACTGTGATCGAACATGATTGCTATTTTTGGGTGTACAAATAAGATTATTTAATAACTCGATGTAAAAGCTGTTTCACTCTTGGACTGTCAAATTATTTTTCTCTAAAATCACTTAGCCTTTGCCTCAAACGTCAAATGAATGTGCCCTGATCTGCGGATTACAAGTTTATTGTTTGATTTAAATTATGAATTTATTAACGGGAACTTCGCTTTTAGCCCTGGCTAAATCTATATATTATACTATCATGCTTCTAATGGTTTACATATTGGAACCCTTCTATGAAGCACTTTGCTTGATTAGAAGGATACTCAATAAAGATTATTATACTGTACTGCCATGTAATAACCACAATAGTAAAGTTAATGATAGTTAAAGTTAATAGTGGTTGCAATATTTTACAGGAAAATTATGTATTCTATCTTGTTCTCTATTTCTAGAGCAGTCTAACACTTTCATATTCAGAAAGGAGATGTACCACAAAGTTTATTTCACCAACTGCAGTTCTTGCAAATCTCCACAAGAAAAGCGTAAGTGTTTTCCATAAATAATTAATGTACAATGAGACCACCACGAATCTCCATTGTGTTGAAATTCTCAGTAACCTGCAAGAGTTCTGGTTACTTTACTGAGAAAAAAAAGACACTGTGGCAACAACAAAAATCCCTTTTTTTGGCTATCCCTTCCTCTATTCTCCTAAAAAAAAATTTAACATTGCTCGAATTAGGTTTCAACTGCTCGAAACTTGTGAAGTACATTAAAAACCTGCGAGTAAGAACCTGCATTTTCCAAAGTTAGCCTAAATGGGTTCTTACATAAATGGTAATTAACCCAAATCTTGGTTATAGGTTCTTAAATAGGTTCTTATTTTCTGGAGGAAAAAATAGACATTGTCACGGCTAAGAACATTAGTCATATTCAGATTATTCCTTATTTAAAATCTGCATACCATTTACATAATTGCTCCTGGAGTGATGAGGCACTTGATGTATATGTCTCCAAAGAGGATCCTGAAAGTTGACTGATCTTATTTACCCAAGGGTACAGAATTTTTTTTTTTATAGATTTTAGAAAACATGAACCTGTTTCAAATTTCAGACTGCATTGGTTTTTTAAACCAAAAGCTAAATATCCCTCCTTTCAGAACGGCCTCCAGACAGAGAACTTTTAATTACAGGACTTTTATATTGCTTTGGAACAGTGTAGAACCCCCTAGCTTTTCTTACATTTTTTTAACATCTCTTAAGGAACCAGCTTTTAGATTTAGTATTGTAATTTGTAATTAGTTAAGCATTGTAATTATTATTATTAGTACTAAGGTTGAGTGTTGTAATTAGTTACATGCTTGTAAATAATTCCTGAAAATCCCCTTTGGGGAGGAAACATTAAAGTATGTATGTATGTATAGAGGGGGCCTAACAGGCAAATTCTAGCCTAACAGGTTATTACTCGCAGCTTTTTAAGGTATTGCTGAAGTGTTTCATGAATGAAGGAAGCAGTCAAGGAAGTTGCATCCATACATGTTGGCATGTAGATTGGCATGCTTGAGGTTTTCTCAGCATGTTTATTATTCCGATGAAAGGTTTTTATATCTACTATAGCAGGCACGGATGTAGGATAAATAATGACCAATTTCCCAACCGAGTGCCGAAGGCAAAAGCTTCCAGGGGAGTTTGGGGGCATACTCCCACGGGAGATTTTTTGGATTTTACAGTTAACTCCCTAAGTCCTCTTTCCTGGGTTTCCGAGTCATTCAGACAGGATATTGGCTATATTTCAACTTGGAAATTTTTTTACTACTGAAAGTATATTTACTGTGGAAACTGGTGTGGATCTGCGGCCATATAGTGTAGAAAACATACAAAACATATGAATGAAATGGTACTGTACAGTCATGTCTAGTCAGGCATACCTCCAAGATGGCATTAACGTATTCACAATTGAACTGCTGGTAAAGCTCATGCATTTCCTCTTCCTTTTCACTTGTGACATCATCAGAATGTAATGCTTATAGACAACTTTGACACTTTATGTGCAGCCGGGAAGAGATCTTTCAAACCACACCCAAATGAGGGTATGGGAAAAATGCAAAGAGAAAAAACAAACAAACAAAAAGAACAAACAATCCAAAAGACATGCAAATTTGACCAGGAAATAATAGTAAACACCTTGTTCCACTACCCACCTTTCAAGTGACTTAGAGGGTAAACGAGAATTTTGGCAGCAGTGTTTCTTCCATTTGGTAAAAAAGGGTGGTAAAAAATGTAAGGGATTTGCTGCAAGGGAATCGAGGTTAATACAGCGTACGCATATCACCATCTTGTAAAACATCAAACCCTGTGATCAAATTAAAAGATGCATAATATACTATTGTCCACATCCCATTATAGCTTCATGCTCCGCAGTCATTCAGCATGGCACTTTCATGGTATTTTCAAAATTGTGAAGCAGTGCATGGCTACCCAAAGCCCTCCTATATCAGTGACGTATCATCTGAAAAACGCAAAATGACCAAGTCTGAAATGGTGGTATTTGTGGAGACATACATGTATATACACTGAAACTCGATTTTTGTAGCTAAAGCTAAATCGACGTTTAGTTCTGTGGAGGCTTCCCACGATGCTTCTTGCTTTTTGCGGGGGTTTGGATGGAGTTTGACAACACCATTTTAGGTTTACCTTAAAGTTGTCTTTATAACGCTTTTGGGTATGATAAATCCATGTGGTAGCTGGCTGCTGCACCGATCTGATTCGCAATTTACTCGGATTGTTTTTTTACGGGTTTGTGTCCGCTAAAGAAGCGTCTTCTCGTAGAGCAGTGGAAGGGAAAATACCTCTTCAACTAGCAGTGGCCCATACTGGAACTCGTCAACTTGAAAATATCGGGAATTTTAGCCACAACAAACTCAGAAGACAACTGCGAAACATCAAATGCTAAGAGGAGCGTATTAAGCAAACATATCAGACATTTGACGGTGAGAATCTCCAGGCGTTTTCCCTTTTACACGGATCTAGAGTTACAATGCAGCTTCATCAAATGAAGAAGGATACTCGCACTCGTGAACGCAATTTATGCAATTGCGTACGAAGCCGTTCGTCACAGTGCAACTTCAGTTTAATATGTTACATTCTTTAAGCGGCATAGGACAACGGAAGAGTATATACAGTCATCTGATGAACTAGCGCTGGCACTTTTGCGATCGAAGAGCAGTTTCGTTAAATGGGACAAAAATCGAAACCAGATTGAAATACCAATCTAAAGGGAGCTAAGAAAGGGAACTTACAGAGCGCTAAAAAATGGTAAGAGTTTTGTGTAGAGGTTATAATCAGTTTCTGAAGATGTGATGTGATAATTAAGGGAAGAATAGGTAGCAAGTCGGGTAAGTAGATGGTATTCAAATAATATCACAATCAATCCTAATCCAAGACAAATCTTGGATTCTGGATTCACCCTATGAACTCTGGACTCCTGGGACTGGATTAGGGATTCCGGATTCTGGCGTCCTTGTCAATGGAACTTGGATTCTGGATTCCAATCGTCAGGGGTATTCCGGATTCCCTGAGCTCAATTCAACAAGCAAGATTCCACAATCTGGATTTTCTGACATGGAGCAACACACTTCATGCTTTTTTAAATTGTTCTTGTAGCACTAAATACAGTGTTTGACGTAGAATTCTGATTACTCCGTTTGTTTCAATGCAAGGCCACAATTATGAACTGAAGCACACACTACCAACTCCGTGTTATGGCCAGTTGAGCATGCGTAAGGTACTCACTGGTCATACCGCGGAGTTGGTAGTGTGTGCCTCAGTTGATATCGTGGTCTTGTCTTTCAATACAGCCTTAGGCAGACTTAGGTAAAACGACCTTGGATAGAGTATAGTTTGGCTTCCCTCTTCTGCTTTTTGCGCGTCGACTAACATAAATGTGTTAGCAGAGCGTTTTAAGATTTGATTAGGAGGTCAATCCAATTCAATACAAGCTACTGTCTTAGAGTCTGAAAACAGAAGTTACACTTGAAAATTGCGGCACTTATAAAAGTTTTATCGAATTTCACTTTTGTTAAACAATGAGTTTTCAAATGTATGCTAATGTCTGAAACGCTTTTGTCTACAGAAATATCAATGTTTTCGTAAATTTTCTCCTACTTCATTCAGGATGCCTTACATCATAGTAATCGGTGAAATTTTCCCTTCTGAAAAACGCTATTCGAAAACGTAACCAACACTCCGATAAGTAGGTTCGGGCCTCCTTAAAGAGATCTATCTAAATGTGTAAAAATCAAAACTCTTTTTTTTAGCCCTGGCTGATACCCTGATACACAAGTTGTCACTTTTTATCTTTAGTCAGCTGCCTGTAGCTGCCGATCTTCATTTAGCTAAGAAAACAAACCATATTAAAATCAAGACAATGTTACACAGGAGTGATTATTTTACCACATTTTTTTTTCACATTGCTGTTTCAGCTGCTTGCAGTTAACAATTTCTGTTACGCACAAAAGTTGATTAAGTTCCAGAAAATAGTGAAAGGATCAGAATTTTTTACAATTCTTTACAATTTCTATTACGCACAAAAAAACAAAGTCAAGTTGATTAAGTTCCAGAAAATAATAAAAGGATCAGGATTCTTTATAGCTGCTATTTCTGTGCCATAGTGCGCATAAGAGATGTTTAAACTTTGGGTGTTCATCCGTACGTTTCAATTTTACTCGTTTTCTCAGTAAAAGTAATCTCAAGTGATTAACTTGTCTTGATGTTCTTCATCTTGCACCTCCCTTTATTTTGCTAAAACTTGAACGCATCCACTTAATAACAGATGATGTGATTAATCAGTATGTTAATTTTTCTTAAGTGTCCCAAAGAGCGCACTTATTTCACCCAACAATTGTTGGTTTCACGCTGGAAGCGAAGTTAGTTTCAATTAAGCACTTGATTCTAGGGCACTTGGAAATCTTAAGTCGCTCTGTAGAAAACATGGCTTCACACTTGTTGACAAAGTATAATCCTTGAAGTAAAAGCTGTCAATCTCTCCGTTCATTAGAATCTTGGAACCGCTGCACGTGCACATCGTGCACATGGCTTCCATTTCTTATTGGTCAAGTGTGTTCTCAAGTGTGGTGTAGCCGATACTTGGCTGCAAACTTCGGCTTCTTTGAACTACGATCGTTTCCATGGTCACCAAGTTAAGTTGAAGTAGGTACATCAAATTTTACCCCTTCACACTATCAAAGTAGGTTCTAAGTACACTTACATTATACTTGAAGCTCCAGTGTGAAGCCAATAAATTTCTCACACGTCAGCTTTATTTGAACCTCAGCTGTACAGAGTAGCTGTAAGAACTAGTTCGAACTAGTATCTCCGAGAAAGAAAAAAATGATAATGATAAAAAAAGGAAGACAGGACAAACAAGAAAAGAAAACGTAAAAAAGAAAATTGAACCTTAAAAAAAAAGAAAGGAATGTACTTCTCATAGAATATATAACAACAGCGATATGTTTATTAAATCGAAAACAGGTTTAAAGTCATTAAACAATGTTTTAATCCCAGGTCCTCAGTGGGTCCGTTCCACATAGTTGCTGATGCATATCTAAAGGAGTGTCAACCATCAGTCGTACGTATCAACAACAACAACAACAACAGCATAAGCTTTATTTGCATGACTATAATTATGTAGTTACAGTATTGCAAAAGCTTTAATATAAAAAAAACAACAAACAAACAAACAAACAAACAAATCATAACAATGATAATGCAATGATGACTGTAGTCAATCAAGGGTCATCAGCATGACTTGATAACAAATTATTACGTAAATCATTACATAATGAGACAAATTTCAACAAATGTGAATTTACGGAAAAATTCTGTGAATTCATCAATTTAATTATTAATTCTGTGTAAGATAGCTGATCAAAATCGACAAAATTTTGTTGGATTTGATCGTAGAATTTCTCCCTTGGGATTGAGTATTTTGGACAAGGGAAGAGAAAATGAAATTCGTCTTCAATTATACCAGAGTTACAAATAGGACAGAGTCTATCGTTGCGGGAAGTTTGATTATATCTTCCAGTTTCAATCATGAGTTTGTGGTTACTTATACGAATTTTCACTAAATCTTTCCTATTCGCAGAATTTCTAATTAAGTCTAGATAACTTGAAATTTTATAATCATGTTTAAATAAGCTGTAAAATTGTAGTTTCTTAGAATGATGGATTGTATGTTGCCAATATGCAATATATTTTTGTTTTATTATATCTATATAGTGTTTGATCTTAGCTTCACTTAAATTATTAGGATCAAAATCAGGGAGGTCATAATATTCAGATATTTTCATAAGATTATTGTAAAAGCTATTTTTACCATTACAGTGAAGTTCTAGCGAAGTACGAAAGGCTTGTTTAACAATAGTATCCTCGTTTTTACGCAGAAGATACAATATGTAATAAAGGATGTTTTTATAAATATTAATAATTAATGGAACCGTCCCAATTCACTTCTACTTGCAACATTTGAAGCTTTATTGCTTATTTCTAGGTAACGCTTGCAAAATTTCAAGTGGGTTTTTTCAATTGGGGTATTGTCCCAAGCTTTAAAATCATGTTTTACATATACACCCCAAATTTCGCTATTATATGATAATATCGGGGAAATCATCGTTTCAAATATTTTGCAAGCAAGAGAAGGTTTTAATTTGCTAAAGTTTGTGTGTTTTCTTAAACTAAAAAGAGCATGAAGAGCCTTCTCCTTCAAGTGTTCGAGGGAGATATTAAAATTACCGGTTGAGGAGATACGGGTTCCTAAATATGTATATTCATGGACAGTATCAATGGTTTCTTTACCTATATGGAATTCTAGATTGGAGTTTTTCTTCGCTCGTTTTTGAAAGACCATAACTTTGGTCTTTTTGGAATTTATATCTAACATCCAAGAGTTGCAAAAAGAGGATAATGTGTTGAGACAGTTCTGCAATCCGATTTTAGATCGTGATATAATAATTAAATCATCAGCATATAAAAGCGAATTTAATTTGGTACCATTTGGAAGGATGATAGGGTCTGATAAAGTATTTTGAAATGCGGACGGTAAGTTATTAACGTATAAATTGAAAAGTAAGGGGCTTAAAATACAGCCCTGGCGTACGCCCCGTGAGAAGCTAAAAGATTTTGTTTGACTCGTACCTATTTTCAATGCACACGAAGAGTTTGAATATAGGTTTTGGATTAACTTATAGAAAAGTCCGTCATGCCAGACTGAGTCAAAGGCTTTTCTAAAGTCAACAAAACAAGCGTATACTTTCTCACCGTGACAGTGTACGTACTTGTCTATAAGAGTTCGTAATGTTAGGAGGTGGTCTGATGTTCGATTTTTAGGTAAGAAGCCGATTTGAGACTTATGGAGTATGTTCAGCGAAGTGACGTGTTCAAGAAGTCTTTGGTTTAAAATTGAAAAGAACAACTTTCCTAGACAACTAGAAACACAAATCCCGCGGTAATTTGATGGGTCATTTCTTACGCCAGATTTAAATATGGGAGTTATAAGACCGTTGCACCAATTTTTAGGTACTGTTCCTAAGTTAAGAACAGTATTAAAAAGTTTATGGTAAACAGGTAGCAGTGTTGGTAAGCTAGCTTTAATCGTTTCGTTTCTTATTTTGTCGGAGTATGCAGATTTGTTATTCTTTAATTTTCTTGCTGCCTTGCTTATTTCAGCTTCTGTTATGAAGTAATCTAGAGGTCGTGATTGCATTAAGACGTCTTCTCGTATCTAACAGCAAGTTGTTTGATCCCCATAGGTTATAAGAAGTATTATTTGAAACAGACCACTTATGATATATTTCGTCATCGTGTCAACGTGGATTGCATAATTACATAATTTTATACAGTTTGTGCAACTGTGTAAGGTTTGAACCCAGGAGTCATTTCAAAAGTAGGTTGAGTATGATCGTCCGGGTGAACGCAGTCCTGAATAGGACTGTTGTTTATGACAGTGACGGAGGTTTCGATAGCCTGTCCGGTGCTCATCTTCAGAGCAAAGTGAGTTCTATCACGTCTAGCGGTCAGCGGTCAGCGATGATGATGGCCGCGTTTTTTGAAGCTGTAGTTTGCGTTATTTGTTGGCACTTAGAACATATTATCTTGCTCAATATTGACTTGTGTGCGTGTGTGTGTGCGTGCGTGTTTCTGTTTTAATGAATAACAAAACTACAAAAGAATAAAGTCAATCTTGTTAAAGGGCCTTCTCCATTCTAATTTTCTTCTTTTATTATCGTTATTATGTACCCGTAGTTTAAGCAACTTTGTACCAATTGATATTGTACAAGTAATGTATTATTGATATTGTACAACTATTGTATTATTGTACAACTAATGTATTATAGGATGGAGTAAAAATACAATACAATACAATAGAATATCACGTCAATTGATGGTATTTAACTCTGGTTATTGACCTGATTGGTCAATTAAGTCGTGATGTTATTTGCTATGAAGACTCGTAATGTCATTGGTGCGTTTCGATCTGTCTTAACATATAATGGATTCCGATTGGCTAAGTGGGTGTCACTATCCCTCAGTTGAGTGTAAATTATTTGTGAGATAAAAACAATCATCAAAGCAAAAGTCACTCTAGTGTCACGATCTTTTTCATTTCTCGTAAGGATCACACTATTTTGACCACGTTTCGGGTGAGGTATTCCACTGCGTAGCATCAAGGTACTTTAAAATCCTCGCTTAATTTAAGGTAATTTGTTCGCGGTTCTTCATCGCTAGATAAGTTTCAGAATGTGTAAAATGATAACGTTTTCCTTTTTGCAGTCTTTAGTGTTTATAAAGTAAATATTCAAGTGTACACAAAAAGAGTTCAGTCGTTAAAAGGAATCAAGGGCACCCAACGACCGAACGTTTCCAAATACTTCAAGAGAAAGAAATGGTTTTCTCTTGGTTAATTTGGAGCTACCCTGAAAAACTACTTATCTGTTCGGATGTCTAAGGGGAACTTTGGTCGTCACGAAAGTCTCAGGTGGCTTTTTCGTCATCCGAAACCGTTATCTGCCCTGATGTGTCCGGTCGAAAGTTCGAGGACGTGGAATAGTACTTTCATTAGAAAATTCTAGGGGATTTTTTGTCTTTATGTTTATATCAAAATTTCCAGGAGACCGTTTTTTAACAATAATCGCAATATCATGGTCATGAAAATCGTGTTAAAAACACAACCTCCGAAAATCGTGGGTAAGTTAGTAGAACAACTCCGAATATCTTCGGAATTAGCACAATGGCGGTTGGTGATGCTTTTGTGGCCTCTGCATTTCTGCTAAACTTTCTCCTTGTTAACAGTGTATTATGTCTGCATGAACTTTTATTGCGTTTTATTCGTATCTGAAAGGACAACGTTTCCTAGCCATGGTTGGTAAGCAATTTTGGTTGCGTTGAAGAATTTGATTTGTCTTACTTGTCACTGGTGGATAATGTGAAGAGTGAGGCGCAAATTGACATATTGTCACTCCCAGGAGTAACACTTTCACTTCTACTCTTTTCACCGAGAACAACAGATCATTTTCACATGACGTCACGGCAGCCATATTTGTGTACAAAACAATGAATCGGCGGCCATGTTTGTCTACAAAAATAATCCTGTGTTTCACATGTTAAAACTTTCTTTTTTTCCAAGCAATCTGCAAAGCTGCTGACCACGTGACTGAAAACGATCTATACCTGCTGTATAGGCGCTGAAAATAGCGACGAATACATACATGGTGAAGCAGAAGTTTACCAGAAATAGAGTTTCGTACTATACCAATTCCTTGTCTACCAGACGAATCCTGCTTCTAGGCGGAGATGTGGAAACAAATCCTGGTTGGGAAGATTCATCTCGTGAGAAACCCGACTACTTGCAAGATGTTGCTAGAACGGTCAGACATGCATCCAACAATTTAAATGTTGCCTACTTAAATATTCGTAGCCTCAGCAACAAGCAGGATGAAGTGAGAATGTTGCTTCGTCTCTGCCGTGTTGATATTCTTGCATTAACCGAAACAAAAGGTGGATAGCGCTATCCAGCAGATAAACCTCTTTCCAGCGTATAAGTATTACGAAGACCAATTGCCTTATCCTCGGATAGTGATTTATCCCGCCTGTGGATACCGCTATCCACCTTTTGAACAACTGGACCCAGAAATTTATAGGCAGTATTTGCTTCTTCGAACAGCTGTTTTACAGGAAAAAAGTCGTTGAGTGCCCCTGTGGAATGATAACGCACGCAATGGCTTGTCTCGATGAGAGTTTCGTAGACTCAGCTCCAGTGTCATTTACTTGTAAGAAACTCTACAGTATGAAACTCTGTATCGGTAATTGCGACAAAATCGACGTCGGGACGATCTCATTGCCATTCCAAACAAGTTTAACTACGTTAGATGTTCGATGACGGCAAAGAAATCTCCCAAACGTGAGCCGCACGTTGAGGCTTAAAGTGTGCTCAATGAATCTGATACTTATATATTTTTTTGATTTTCTCGTCTCCGTGACTAGAAACGACGATTTCGTTGAAAAACGGACGATTCAATAGAAAACGTGCGACGAAAACGACGTCTGCAGGTACTTATAGAGAGGCTTAAATATGGGACGAATTGTTCATTCGGGTGGAGTAGCCGTGGTGAAGAACACCTCAGTCGATCTAAATGCAATCAGCCGAACTTAACTACGTCAAAAGTAGCACTTCACATGAGCGGGGCTCAATTAATTAATTAATTGAGTTCGGCCTTTAATCTCGTTCAAATCATTTTTTGCTGATTAAATTTTTCTTGGGAATTCTGCTTGTTACCAGGATAGGTTTTGGCACCATTATTTGCGTTCATCGATCTTTGTGCAAAAGTCATAATCATAAAAGGCCTCAGGCAGTCCCAATGAGTTGGTTAAACAATCGCTAATCCATTTTAAAGGGCAGCTTTTATTTCGTTTGTCGTTTTCCTAGGATAATTTTCACAGGTAGCTTTATTCTTTTTAACACTGTTTCTTACATGTTTTTTTTTTTCGCAAGTTTCACATTCCCCGTTACACACCTTGTTGGCCCCCTAAAATGTTGATTAAGTATTTCAATTTCTCCTAGGAATTACAGTCGTCCCAAGAGAAAACAATGCTCTTGCAATGTTTTAGGGAGCAAAAAAAAAATTATATGGGCATTGCGAAAGTGGCGAATAGAGTTTTCAATAAAAGTCACCTGCATATTTTCTAGCATGCTTCTTCGATCATGAATGTAGGCAGTAGATCAGCCTGAATTGTTTGTACCTGATTGGAGCATGAAGATCTAAATTCTTGTTGAATTCGAAATGCCCAGGCTTACCAGGCGTTATTTGGTTTACCAAGCTTAATATGTCAGTGTTCTGCGAAGGAAGTCTATTATAAGTCGCACCCGCTAACTATAAAGCTCTGTACACGAAAAGTTCGTTCTCCATGGTTTTTACATGGTTTGTGTGCTGTCTTCACTTCACAGCTGATTGGACCAGGTTCGAAGTGGTTTAAGCATAGTCTGGCTCAACCAGAGTTTACCAGGCTTATAACCAGACTTTTGGTGCAAAAGAAAACAGGAGACGCTCCATCGGTTATACACTGATCTGGGAAAAATGATGAAGAAGCCTGCCAGGTTGTTTGTAACACTGGTTTTCTCCTTGACCTCAACGTCATTGGCTAAAACACCCATCATAAAGAGGCCCTTAAACATTGCACACCGAGGGAGCTCGGGAACATTTCCAGAGCACACCATAGAAGCATACAGGTAAGAAGAGGTCAAAATCAGCCATGCATTTAATTGGAAAATAGTTGGGTACGAAAGAAACTTTGTTGTTATACGTAAGCTCTTTAAATGGCAAATGCTAGTCTCGTTGCATGATCAGAAATTTGGTGCTAAAAATTGTAAAACAAATTGTAAACTTAGTTTTTTTCTGACGGTGAATGCCAGTCAGCTCTTGTTGTTTATTAATAGAGCCAACAAAATTTTAAGCTGTTGTAAACCAATTGCTGGTTTGCAGATGACGTCACAGCGGCCACTGTCGGTGGTCAAGGACAAAAGCATTTTTCTCCTTTTCGGAACTAAAAACCCATTTTCATGTAAATTCTTCGACAAGAATTTTATTGTATTCCCCATTTCGGGGGGCAAGAAACACGCAAACAAAGTGTATTATGGGAAATGTGGAAATGGCAATTTGACCACCAACAGGGCTGCCTTGTCACGTGGTTGCAAACCAGCAATATGATACGGAGGAAGTGGCAAAAATGTAAAAACCCTATAGCGCATTCGTACAACTTTATGTACATGTTCCTCAAGATATGTCCAGAGCTTTTAGTATTAGTCTGCTAGCTGTTGTAGCTCTTCTTGTGTGCATCCTTGTTGCAGGTTAATGTGATAATTTTGATTTCTATCTTCTATTTCTCATTTTTCTAGGCAGGCCATCAAGGATGGAGCAGATTTTATTGAATGTGATGTTTGCGTCACGAAGGATCTTAAACTTGTTTGTCGACATGAAAGCTGGTTGAACGACACAACCAATATCTGGGAAAACCCAACACTTCGACTAAAACAAAACACGTACCACATACAGAGCCCCGTAAACGGCTTGGCAAAGACAATCACCGACGTTTTCACGGTTGACCTGACTCTTGAAGAACTCAGAACCATTCGTGCGAGGCAAAGGTATTCGTTTAGAGATCCCAATTTTGATGACAAGTTTCAGATACCTACTTTTGAAGAATTCATCCAAGTTGCCAAATCAGCCAGAAGGCCCATAGGGATTTACCCTGAAGCAAAAGATCCGCAGTGGGTCAACTCTTTGGACATTTTGCAGCAAGCCAAAACCACTTTTGAAGACCTTCTTGTCGATGTACTGCACAGAAATGGATACCTTACAAGAAAAAGCCCTTGTTATATCCAGTCGTTCAGTGAGGACAGCATCAGAGCAATGTCAACAAAAACCAAGCTACCTTTAATAATGCTGATGGCAACCCCTCTTCCGGTCCCTGAAGATGAACTGGAGGCTCTGTCGGAAATCTGTTATGGCATTGGAGTACACAAGTACATGATTCAGCCAGTAATTAATAACATCCTTCAGGATCCTACCGACCTCGTCGCCAATGCACACAAATACAACCTAAAGGTTCACGGATACACATTTAGAAACGAAGACGAGTACTTAGCATGGAATTTCACTCAGGATCCTTACAATGAATATGAAACCTATTTCAACACTCAAATTGATGGTTACTTCACAGACTTCCCAAGTACCCTAAAAAGATTTCTGGATGTGAAAATCATGCTTGGCATGCACGGAAAATCGAAGAAAAAAGGAAAACTGTAAACATTGTGCACCTCTCTTGTAAAGTCGCTTTTGAAAGTTCTTTTTCTTCTCGATAAAATGACGCTTTAGAACTACTACGCTGATCGTTAACACAACGTAACATAACATAGCTATATTTCAAATCCAATCTTGGAGTATTGTTACAGATGCAAGTATCCGAAATTAGAAAGAATAAATTAGATAACACGAAAGTCAATACGTAATAAAATTAAAACAAGTGGTATTTGGAAATTTTTATGTTAACACCCAGAACTGGAATTATGAACATGAAAAATGAACTCACACTCCGCACATAACTTTTTGATATTTTGAATAACAAAGATAGCTGTATTGACACGCCCACTCCAATCAAAAAATTAAAATCAGCCCAAAATTATGATTCTGCTTTGTTTAATTAATCCGTTGTTTCTCTTACGTGCCATTAAATTCTTTGTTTATTTCTCTCTTGTTTGGTTTTTGCTTTTACTTTTAGATTGTAAAACTAAATATTTGCGAACTTTAATCTACTGATTACTATTCACTTAGTTTCGCCAAGTTTTCAGTTTTACACTGTGTTAGTCCCTGTCCACACGAATCTGTTTTCATTTGAAAACGCAACTATTTCTTTACGGACACGGCTTTCGTGCACACGTATCCGATGAAAACGATCAATGAAAATGGAACTTTTCGAAAACGCTCTCCAGAGTGAAACTTTTTGAAAAAGCTGTTTTTGCGTTTAGGTGTGAACAGAGGAAAACGGAACTTTTCGAAAACGCTGAGGACACACTATCAGTTCCAATCCACTCCGCGCAATATTAGAAACTTATTTAAGATGGCCGGCGGGCGCTTCCCTTTCTTGTCTTTTATACTCGGGCTTACTTCTAACCTTAATGCTTGTTTTCAGGCAAATTTAGAGTTTTGAGATGTTGAATTACAAACATCAGTAAAATCCAACTAGTGGTCTATTATCAATGCTGCGTTCTGATTGGTTGAGCTACAACTAGGCTACATGTTATAGCCCACTAGTAACGAAAAGCGTCGGCTTGAAAACCAAAACGATGGAGGCTGAATCGCGTTTTGCTAGCTAAAGTTGTTTTGTCTCGATATTTTTGACCAACAGCCTTCGTCCTCATGGGCTATCGACTCAGAGCCCATTCGGGCTCGAGGAATAATTGTTCAATAGTTCGACACTGCAGTTAGGTCGAAATGGTGAGACACTTTTGCCCCCAAACACCCTTTTTCTTTCTTTAATGTGCGTCACAGGAAGAAATCCGTGTAAAATAGGAAATGCAAGTGTTGAACACAATCACTTGATACGATCTTGTATTATAGGAACTTTGTTAACGGACCGGGGAGACGGGCATAAATCATGCGAAGACTTTGGCCTAATCGGCCCTTGTATTTTGGTTTGCTTCCTGTCACCAGAAGTTGACTTGCTACACAGATGCATGTAACTTGAATTTCATTTTTTCAGGCTCGATGTATTGATGTATCACCAGGAGGGGGTGTAGGTGTTTCCTCTGGAGATGACGGTACTCTAGTTGTCTGGGATTCCAGCAATGGTGTTTTAAGGGTATGGTAATTGATGTGTTTTTAAGAGAAAGAATTTGCGAACTGTGCGGTCAAACCGCGTTAATATGGATACTGAGTGGGCCACAGAAAGTGTCCGTATAAAGCGGGTTGAATTGTGTAGTTCCAGAAAATATCCATACCCCCCCCACACACACACACACACGGAAGGCAACGGAAATTCAGAGGGGAGGAGGGGGGTCCAAAAGGACGCAATTTCCGATGAGGTGATGGGGGAAGTGGCTTCTCGAGGTTTTTTTCCGTGTCTCCAAGTAAGACTGGTGAGTTATCCAAAACTAACAACCGTACTGCTGAGCAAGCTCTCAGTCATTTTACTGTTGACGATCTTTTAAAGCCAGAATTATTGTTTTCATCGACCATATTTTATTAACGGTCGGCTTTTGTTGTTCGGCTTATGCGATAGATGGTTGTCATTCGCACATAAATGAACGTCTGGATATATAGCTGTAACGGTATTACACAATATAATATGATATATATGATATAATAGATATTAGAAAATGTAAGGGCTTTCTTTCCCCGGGGACAAGGAAAACTGTCAGGTGTCCTGAAGCAGGTATCCGTAGAGCGGAGTTCGACTGTTATTTGTTTACCTTCAAGAACTGATATAAATGAATTAGAATTTAGAAGCGTAGGTTTTTGTGGAGAGGGAAAACCGGAGTGCCAAGAGAAAAACCTCGTTGAGGAAGGGAGAGAACCAACAACAAACTCAACCCACTTATGGAGTCGAAGACGAGATTTGAACCGGATTTGGGCCGGTGGGGGGCAAAGTTTCTCACTTTCTCGCCCCTTGCCACTCTAAAATGATTTTCTTTTACTCATTACCCGAGGCATCCCATTATATTATTCGGCTTGAGGCAAACTAACTTAAGTTTACCGTTGATTAAGTGTTAAGCAGTTTTTTTCTTGTGTTCTGTAAGTGCATGTCATTTTTGCTGCCTCTACACTATTGAAAACTCACTCTTCTTATATATCCCCTTTGATCTTGTTTGTAGCGGAGTCTCGAAGGCCACATTTCAGATGTAAACTGCTGTAGATTTTTTCCTTCAGGAAAGGTTGTTCTCAGTGGTGGTGCTGATCTACGGTTAAAGATCTGGTCAACTGAAGATGGGAGCTGCCCTGTCACATTGAAAGGCCATTCAGGAGGTTAGTATCACCTACCCCACCCCCAAGGCAACATTAACACTACTTCTCGCTTAGGGCAAAGTTGTGACCGGAGGGGTAGGTGGTTAGTTACCCAGTAACCTCAATTGATCCAGTATTTCTTTACTTGCGCTACTCCAATCTCCAGCTATATACTCTGTGAGGCAGTGTCACACTACTAAGAACATGTTATTGCTACTTGTCAATCAATTATGCTTTGATACAAACCCCGCAAACGTTGCCATGGTGATGAGAATTATAATTCAGTTCTACATTTAGCAGGTATTCGCGACTCTTTGCACTTTAAAAAGAAATTTACTTTATTTGAGTGTCAATGTATTTAGCACGAAAGTACTAAATTGAGGACACTAATTTACGTCTCCTACTGGAGACAGATCCGCTGTTTTACGTGATCATCGGAGCCACGCGAAGGTATTACAATTTGTAGGGCAAAGGGAGTGCCTTCATTTCTCCGTTATTTTAATTGACCCTGAATACCATCCGGCCCCAGGAATCGAACCCATGACCTCCCCCTCTGCAGTCAAGCGCTCTACCTACTGAGCTAATAATATCCTGCCGCGGTTACTCTTCAATGAATTTCTCAAGATTTGCACAAGGTGACATGTTTGTATGTCATCAGTCAGTTAATTAGAAAAATATACTTGACTTGCCAAGTTCGCCCTAGCATTTATTTATTAAAATCAAGTACGCATGGAAGACACTGATTGCTAGCAAAGTTCGACCTGGGATGTTTTCGTGAAGAACTACATATGTAGGACATGCTTTACCATTTACAATTTTGAGATAGATGCTATTGTTTTGAACTGAGGTCTATAACCAATATTGTTATGTTTTACGTAAACAGCATTGTGAAGAAAATTGTTAAAAACGAACTTTTGTGATATCGTATATGTCTCTTGCACTTTGAAAAAAAGGAAAAGGACTTACTTTGTTTTCCACACAGAGTCTTGCAAAGTGTTTGTTTTTTTAAATGGGCTGTCAGTTTTTTTTCTTGTCATTCCTGGGTGCTAGTGTGTGATATTTTTGAGGGTGTCATTTCATTTATCTTGTTTTGAGGCAGTGCTTTGTATTAAGAATCTCCTGATGAAGAAGCTCAAAGAGTTTTACACATCTCGTTGTTGATTGATATAGTTTGTCTCTTTTTTTGCAGGAGTTGTAGATACAGCTATTGTGGACAGAGGGAGAAACATTTTATGTAAGAGCGATCAGAGATCAAATTCATCTGATCATGTTATGTGCCGATTTCAACAAATTTAATACTCCCGCTTTAGTTGTCATGTTTTTTTGAGGTAAAGATCAATTAATCATGATTTCTTTTTCCAAAATGAATGCAGCTTGCTCCAGAGATGGTTCCGTGCGTCTTTGGGATTGTGGAGAATCTAAATGTCTGGCAGTTGTGTCCAAAAGTGACTGTCCTGTTAATTCATGTGCATTGACTACGTTTCCAGGAAGGGACAACAGCTCAGACGCTAATGAACCACACAGTAAGTAGAGTTTTGATCTTGACTACTGCTACCTAGTGCCAAGTTACTGCATAGTTACCACATGTACCTGTCTAACCCTTCCAGGGGTGTACCCAGCCTTTTTGCAACTGACGTTGGGGAGAAGAGGGTTCAATTCATTTGACTGAAGTTACACAAGGAAAATCCACCATATCGAAATTCAGGGGGTAGTAGCTCCTATACGTGTAAAAGAGTAATAACCTGACTGAGTTGAAACCATTTTCTGGATTAACACTTATGATCCTTCGAACAACTGAGCCTAGCCACGAGGAAGCCTTTGAGAAAGATAATACCATCAGAGAATGCACTTAGCAGTGAGATAGAATCTACTTTCCGGAAGCCCGTATGAGAAAGAGTATGCATGGACGGATTGGAGTTAATCTCAGTAAACCGTCGGTAACGTTTGCTTGCAGAAAAGACCATCCTTATTTCTTTTGTAAACTACTTCCCCTTGGTTATTTCATTTTTCCGTTTTTGTTTCAGTCTCTCGTGACCAGCCTTGACCTCTGTTACTTTTCCTCTATATACGTTTATCAGTAAACCTTAGCAGTAGGAAACTTACTGCAAAATATGTATACATGTAGTAATGAAAGTGAACTCTCGGTTGCCAGGTGAGCGAGAGGTCGGAACAGAAGGAAAACTGCTTTTACTTGCAAAAGAAGATGGCTTCATGGATGCTGTTGATGTGTATAACAGAAGTAAGGTACTGTACCTTTTTAATATATATAGTTAACTCTCTTTGAAAGGGCCGTGCCAATAGCTATCTAGGTCATTGCAGGATTAATATTGCCAGTAACGCGTATGCATATTATGGTAAGGGCGCTTTCCAAAAGTCAGAACTGGCCGGCCAGACCATATTAGCCTAACCAGTCATTTTGACTATGAAAAATGCTTTTTTCCAAGAGTTTTTGTTGAAACACTATTTCTTTCTTGCGTGCTATTTAGGACTTGACTGATTGGCTGGAAATGTTATGATTAAAAGTGAAATTCTCATTATGACCTGAATGCTCTGGCCGGTTAATGCTGACAAATGGAAAGCGCCCTCTGGAACGTAACCTGAACTTAACGTTAGCGAGGAATTTTCTTGTAAATGACGAACAGCTTTGTATCAAACAAAAATCTCTCCCAAGGTATCGTATCAAACGTTTCAAGCAAGAAAAATGAACTTTTAAAACATGTCAGACTAACAATTCCAATTACCTTAATCTTCTTCAAGGTTTTCCATCCCTACCTTCATTTGCCGGTATTTGCTGGCTTCTTTATACCATCTTTTAATGTTTTGAGCGGTTATTATGATGTTTCACTCAATTTGGTGGCTGTTCCTTGTGTTCTAAATTTTGATAAAGTTCATGGCCCTAAAACGACATGCAGAGCCCGGTTGGTCCTTTTCGTTCTTACCGTAAATCCTCTATTAAGCCCCCCTCTCTAATAAGCACCCTTTTTTTAGGGGAAGAAAGTTAGTAAGCTCTCCCCTTACCTCATTGTTTTTTTTAAACTAACTACTAAATAAGCTATCATAGTGTTTGTTGGATACTGTAAGTTCTATGGACGTTTCATCTCCCATTTCATATGTCTGGGTTTTTTTGGCTGCTTGTTTTTTAGGTATTTCAGTTTAAATGTCCATCAGCTTTGAATTGCTGTACATTCTTGTCTGAGAATGAAGCTGCGGGCGGATCAGAAGATGGAACCCTGTGGCTTATAGACATCAGGTTTCCAAGGTTGGTATCCTTTAACACAGGCCAACAGCGCACGCGTTTGTTCATCTTCTTGGGCGTTCAAAAGAAATATTTTATTAAACAAAATTCATCATCACGTTGTTGTGAGACCTTTTGTAGAAGGGGCTTATCATGCATTAAAATCTCAAAACCTTGGGACCAATCTTTAACATACGTTCATAAAAAGGTTCGTCTTAGTTTCACTCAACAATAAGCCTTTTTGAAAGGAACGTCTTCAGGGCTTTCTTAAAACTACCTACAGAATCACACACTCTAAGCTCCCGTGGAAAGGCATTCCAAAGCTGAGGGGCACATACAGAAAATTTCCTGAACCCATACGATTTTACATTATAAGATTGTGTCTTCAGAAGCTGCATGTTTCCTGATCTAAGGCTACGACAAGGTCTATATAGGTCTGATAGATCCTGGAAATAAATAGGTGCCATACCATTCACCACTTTATATGTAAATAACAAGATCTTAAATTCTACGCGCTGCTCAACCGGCAACCAATGAAGCTCCATTAGTACTGGCGATATGTGATCACGCTTCCCAGACAATGTAACTAGCCAGATGCAGTGATGTCTGATAATGAGGGCTTTTTAGCGCAGTATTCCAATAGAAGCTACTAATACTGCATATCTGTGAAGGTGCTGAACGCTATACTACAACAGCGAACATTCGGACCATATATGCAACTTTCTGTAGCAGGAGTTCAGAAAGTGGAGCGTGACCAAAAAAAAGGGAGCGAAACCCAAAAAAGTCATAATGCCTGGTGCAGGTTAATTTTCCCGTCTCTCTAGGAATGGTTAAAAAGTATTTTTTTAGTAATAATTGTTTTCCGTGATTGATTTCGATGAGAGAAGTGAACAATCTATTCTTGTTTTGCTCAGTGTTCCTGTTGGTGTGTTTCGGCGATCAGCATCACCTGTGCTTTCTCTCTCAAGTCTTGGTGAAAACAAACTTCTTGCTTCTACCGGTGAGTCGCCAACTGAAACCCTTTGTAGATACAGTTATTACATCTTAGTAACAGCTAGTATCGTGCTCAAATACTTCCCTTCAGTATATTTTCACAGGTGAACAGCAATAATAGGCCATAAACTGTTATTTTCAAAACGAGGCTAAGTGCAAAATTTTTCTGTAAACTGAGTTTTATCAAGAGCGACCCATTAGGGCTTTTGGTTTTATTTGACCCAAATAATTTTAAGGCGTCGCCTTCAGAAACCATTCCCAAGTATTAAACATAGCTTGGACGCGAGTGCTGTTTAATAGCCAACCTTGCTGTAGTATTGACCGAAACGGCAGGGTTCGCACGTGTCTTTTCAGTTACACCCCTTAACGGTACAACGAGCATCCCCGTCCCTAGACTTGCTACAAGTCGACCTCTTGGCGAGCAGAGCCAGCCTTGTTTGGCCGCGAACCGGCCGACCGCGAGCGACGAAGTCGCGAGAGGTCGACTTGTCTCGCTTGATGGGTTTTCATTTGCATTTCGCGCCAAAAATAGGGAGTGGCGTGACTCGCATTTGCGGTTTCAGGTTTCATTTGCGAGTCCTTGGCTTCAATGGCGGAATTTGCTGATTCCACTCCGACTAAATCTATTGAACGTGTGTGTGTATCTCCATCATCGAAGGACCAAATTTGTTTACTTTGTGCGAAAGTTGTCTCTAACAATGATTTTAGGAGAAAGTTGACGACCTCAGGGGGCCGGAAAGAAACAAAAACTCATATGAAATCCGACAAAGGACTTTTTTGAAAGTCTAACCCGTCCCCAGTTTCGTAAGGAAGTTCGTCCACCCCGTGTCTGTACGATCATATCACCGCTCTGGAAAAGATGCACACGGAGATATCCTTAGGATCAATGCATTAATCTCGCTTGAGAAAAACCAAAAAGGGGTTACTGTTTAATGAGTGTTTGAAAATCTTGTACTCATATTTTGTTTGTCTAGTTCTCTTATTTATTTACAATTTATTCTGGACAGTATGATTAAACTTGATTATGCTAATGATTTAACCTGTTCCGCTTCTGTGTTATTTTAGGGGATGGTTCGTGTTTCTGTTTGGATACAGAACTTATGAGACAAGCAACAGACGTAGTGAGTGGCTGGGAGTTGATTGGACCCGACTGCGACCCTGTATACAGCATTTGCCGCTCTGCTAATACGGTTTATACTGCCTGTAGAGACGCAAAAATAAGAAAATATATACTGAAGCAGACCGAAATCCCAACAAGTTAGACCACAACAGACTTACACTGGAATCAAGTAGTTCAACAGAAGCCTGCAAACTATGATAGAAATAAGAATTATTGTAACTTAAAAATTTTTCCTTCCTTTTCTTTCACTTCATTCTTCTTTTAACTGGGCCGCCTAGATTAACAATTGCTACTTTGCGGGCCAGTCTATTTTAATTACTATAAATGTATTAAATAAAGTTGAAGTTGAAGTTGCATTTTCCCTCCTTCTCTGAGGATAAGGCGGGCATGCATCCGAAGCATAACACTTTTTCAACATTTGACGTGTGGTTTACCCTTCCAGATACATCTCCTCGATATGAAGAGATGTAAAAATGCACTTTAAGCGCCCCCGTCCCCCCTCCCCAAATTATTATTCACTAATAAATGATAGACTGTATTAATTGATCAATCACGACTATAAAACTTCGTGTAGACTGACTGTTTACTTACCAACTGCAAGTTCAGATCTGATTCTGATCCTCGGCTGCATGACCTTGAACCCCGTCTCTATTAAGCACTCCCCCCCCCCTCCCCGCCCCGCCTGAAATGGGCTTAATCATGTTAATATTAGGGACCTGCCGGGGAGGACGTCCACCGGAACTGAAATGTTCAATTCTTGTAACCAATTAGCATAATGCTACAGCGTCGACCTGAAACCAAACGTTTGGTCGCCTCGTTACACGGTGAGTTGGTTGTCGTGTTTTCAGTACAGAAATTGCTTTTCGTACAGGATTTTCGATCCATTTTACTTCAAGAGACACATTTCAGTGTTTTTAGCGTGGTGTTCTCTCAAGATTGACTCTTATTTTTTTGCTATCAAGCCTTTAGGGTTCAGTGTCTTGGCGGCAACTAAGAAGGAAAGCGCAGACTCGTTCGACACAAATGTAACACTATAACTGCTTATTTTTAAGTCTCAACATGGCCGTTGCTGTGAGAACGATTTTTGTACCTTTCCTGTTCCTTGTCTGCCTATGGACCTTCATAACAGAAGCAAACCAGTTTGCAGTCGATTGTTCTTTCGGGAATGCAGAAGATCTGACAAGTAACCTCACAATGTCTGCCACTTTCAAAGGTAGACTTCCAGCATCGAAATATCTAAGCCACTCCTGTGTCGTGAAGACAGACGGACCAAGCCAACAAAAGCGGTTCTTGCGGGTGAAAGCCAAACTTGTAAACAACGAATCGAATGGTAAACATGTCTATTTTATTTATTTGGACATTGCTGGTGATTTTTTTTATTCTTAATTAATTAATTAAAAACGTACGGTTCGTTTTGCACTGAATAGGCCCACTACAAGTTAATTCTTAAATTAGTTCCATTTTATAATCACGAGTTATGATGCATTATTTTATGCACAAATTCATTGAAATGAGGTCTTCTCCTCGCATGATTGATAAAAAATTGTCATTTTAGCTTGATATTTTCTTGGAAAAATGTATCACGGTTCTACAAGGAGAACGTCTTCCGCAATCAATGCTTGAAGTAGATTAGGTTGATCTCTGATTATCTAACACATGCTTTTAATAGTCACGAAACACAGGCAGATTGCTACGTTTTCTCTGTATGTTTCACGGCTGGCTGGCCCTTATTGCGTTTGTGGTTACCATAAAAGTTGCCTTTGGAAAGGTTTTTTGTCATCACGAAACAGCAGAACCGTGTCTGACGTCTATGAAGTGTTTGTTTTAATGAAATGCCATTACACCTTGGTGACGCACTGTTTTGACAGTAAAAATAGCGAACCTTAGTCCAAATTACCGTAAAATTCCGAAAATAAGCCCCGGGGCTTATATTTTTCAAAGGCTCTTTTGAGGGGCTCATATACGGAGGGAAATTGGTGTTTCGAAATCAGCTGAGCTTATACTGAGAGGGAATATCAGACTCAAAGAAGGTCTTAATGGGGTAGTGTCTTTTACGGCTAACGGTAAATATTTTGGCGTTTTTTTACCGCTAATGGTTAATTTTTTTCGTTACGGTTGACGGGTCTGTTGAAAATTAATTACCATTGTTTTGTCAAATTTATTTTCATTGCTGTAAGAAATTTCAAGTCTCAGGAACATTCTGGTCTATATCTTCATTCCTACACTGCGGTATTTTGACGTATAGTATACAAAACAAATAAAACAAGAAAGTATATTTACTCGCATTTGTGGAAGCGTAATAAATGCAGTAAATGTGCCCATTGAAACATTTGAAGTAACATCCATGCTGTATGAATAACAGTTCTTCGGTTTACCCTAATGTCGTGGCTTACCGTTTTGAAAAAACGTTTCCAAACATCAAACCGTATCCTCGCTTTGACTTGTCTTCCAGACCTTGTCAGGGGCGGATCTAGGGGGAGGGTGCGGGGGGTGCGCACCCTCCCCTGAGATGACCTGCGGTTTTCTAATACAACTGGTATTCTGCCCCCCCCAAAAAACTATGTGGTTTATTGGTGTTGAAGTAGAGCAAGAGACGAGTGCACCCCCTCCTAAAAAAAATCCTGGATCCGCCCCTGTTGTCATCATAGGTTTACCATTGACCAGTTCCTCTGAGTCAAAATCCGCCGTGGAATCGACATCACTACAATCGGAATCGCTTTCGTACTCCTCCACCTGGTTGAAATCGGCCTCGGTCGCAGGTCAACCGGAAGTGAGGCCTTCTCCCTTTTTATATGCCTTGACGCTAACAAACTTGTATTGCTGAGTTTCTTTTCTCTTTTAAAGTCGATTTACCCGAGAGTTTCAACTAAACCACTCCCCAATAATGCAAAAAGTCCACTTCCGGTTGACGTCCGTCGCTCAAAAACGCTGTTGCTTAAGCCCCCTATTGAGGAAACTGGAGAAGTCTAATTATAGTAAAAGCTGTCAAAACGTCTGTCAACTAGTGCTGCGACACCGTTTGACTGACACTTCCGGTTTGCTGAATTGTGAGAGTATCGGCTTTTCTCGCTCTACAAGATCCTACATTAAGTCTTCAGACGAGACCTTGGACATTTATTTTTATGGCCATAATTTTTACGGTTAACATTTTTTTACGGCCAATGGTAAATTTTTTGGCCGTTCTACGGCTAACGGTAAACCCATTGAGACACGTTGGGTTAGCTGTAAAGGTCTATAGTAGGAAGGAAATTTATGTCAGTTGAGGACGTAGATCTTTCTAAAACTCAGTCATGTAAGTATTTTGTCTATATGGACCGAGGAAATCCAATTCAAGACTGAAGAGTGAAGTACGCAAACAGCAGTATACTGTGACACATTTTACTGCAATCATTTGGCAGACGTAATAGTTTTTTAAAAATGTAAAATTGATGTGTTACTGTACAGTTTTTGCTTTGTTTTATTTTGAATTTGAGGGCAATCTGAGTAGAAGCCCTCGGGGGCTTGTATCAGTGAAGGGGTGATTTGTCGGAGGTTTTGGGGGGGTTTATATTTGGAGGGGCTTATTTTCGGAATTTTACGGTATGCTGGAAAAGCATCGACGAATAGAATTCATAGTGATATGACTATCAGTTTTCATCGCAACTCTAATGTATTTTTCTTCACCCGTAAGCGTATCATGTTAGAGTCACCCAGAGTTACTTTGACCAGGGAACATTAAGTCTGACAAACATGGCGCAAGAACTAGCGCGTATTTTCACTTCAGGGAGTTTCAAGGAGACAATCTGTAGATATAGAAAAAGCATTCAGCCATGTGGCTTAACTAACATAAAAAAAAACTGAAGACTAATTTCTATTCTTTTGCATTTTAACTTGTTTCGTTTTCTGGTTGAGTGGAGCAAGTTCGTAACTTTGTGTGAAACATGCAGCTTTCGAGTCAGTCATCAATCTCATCTTGAATCCCGGTACTTTACTAAGAAATAACCTTTGCTCTCTACTCGTCTATGTTTTAAGACGGATATTAGCAGTTAAAAAGATTGGGCTGTCTTTGTGTCCAGTGATGACTGATTGATACTGGAACAATTTCTCGGAAAGAGAACCCACGAATGGAAAATACTTTACTCCGATGAGTTCCTCATTTTAAAAGTTCTTGGCTTATATTTGTAAGAGTTATCCACAGTGTAGTAGCTCCCTTTTCCCCTTCCCAATATTCCAACCCCTTTCGACGCCTGCTACGCAGGCTAACAGTCAGAGTAGTTATTCAACGCCTTTTATTTAACGTAAAGCTCTAATTCAGGGTTTATAACCAGCCCTGATTATAATTCATTATGCCACTTAAGTGCTAATCGCTTTAACCAAATGTCACGTCTTGTAGGAGGTCACGCCAGTCAATCATAAAATAGCAAAATCCTTTGGGGCGGCTTGCTAACGGAAACTGTAATTTTCTGATTTGTCCTAAGTTGTACGTATGGGGTGGAATCCTCGTTGTCACTTCATTATAAGTTCTTCTATTGTCTGGTAATTGGTTCCTGGTTTGTACGTCATTTATCTATAATTAAGCGTCGGTATTCTTCGTAGTTGTGATGGAAAACTAACATATAAGTTGTGTCTTTGGAAGAGTTAATTAAAGAGTTGTAGTGCGTTAAAAATATATTTTATCTAGTTTACCGAAAACCCTGCGTCCGAACCTCAGAAACACTATTTTTCGAACTCGTAACGTACTCGCCGGGTTGTCAAACATTATTTTAGTGAAACGATACCCGTACAAATTCATGGCTGGTAACAATTTTTTGCGATACCACTGAATTCCCGATTGAAATTAGAACGCAAAATGAATACAGTTGAACCTCTCTACCGTCACCTTGGGGACAAAATAAAGTAGCCGTTGGAGAGAGGTTGAAACAAAAGTCAATGTATGGACTGTCCGCCAAAAAAAGTGGCTGCTGTGGAGAGGTGGCCGTTAGTGGAGGCTTGACTGTATTTCTTTCTGATGGAGAAGATTTTGAGGTCAACCCAAAACCAAAGCCAAGGCTCCTTTTGTCGAAAACTTTTTTCAGCGAAGTATTATTTCTACCAACATTTTCAGAAAATGAAAAGAACATCTTAAAAAGGCATGCTAATTATTGACCAAAAATATATATCTTTGAAAGTATGTTATTTTTCTTATCACGAGCAAGGGATAAACAACAAATTCTGAATCTTATATTTCGGATTCAGTGCTCCGACGCTGTACCACTGAACAAATAAAACCAACAGAAAACTGAAACAATAGGAACTGATGCGTTTGAGTGTAACGCCCGGTTCAGACCCCGAACCTTTCATGAGCCGAACCTAATTCGAATTAAGGCCGACACAAATTATTAAGACCGGCTGAATTGATTCAGACGCCGATCTTAATTGCAGTTGATCTCAGTATCAAAAGACGAAAAATGGCGGTCAAAATACTTACAAGTACGTTATAATAATTTATGCATTAGGTTCGGTACATGAAAAGTCGGAGTCTGAATCAAGGCCGTTCCAAAGTCGCTCCAAAGGTGAAATTCCCGGCCTGGCTAGGCGAAAAGAACGGCTGAGCCGTTCCAAATTGAAACAGGCGTACCTAATTGATTCAGACGCCGACTTTTTCATTTCTGACTTAATTCAATGTACTAGGTTCGGCTCATAAAAAGTTTGGCGTCTGAACCGGACATAAGGCAACTACGATTTAAATCGTCAATAACAGAAACATGAGGATTATATTCTCTTCAACAGGATTTCTGCATGCATCGGTGTATGGAACAGATGAACCTCACGTGCTGGGCAACTTAGATGTATGGAAATCTGATGGTCATTGGGCTTCTCTTACCATATGTCCATCACGTGACGACAAGATAGGTCGAGAAAAGCATCTGTTACTCTCAGGGACGCCAAACCTTGGTTTTAAAGTGCAGTTAGAAAGTTCTGTTGAGAGGATAATGCTAAATGATCCAGTGAAGTTCGATTTAGGCCCTCAGGAATCGAACAAAGTTTTCCAGTTCATCCCAGAAGGGGACATCTCTGACATGCAACTTGACGTCACGGTCAATTCTGAATCTGATGACGTACCAGCTTACTTAAAAGTATCACGTGATTGTGAGGATGTAAATGAGAACGTTGACGTTGTGGACTACAAGGGAGAGTCAATTCGTCTGTCGTTCGCCGAAAAAGGACGGATTACTTTGTCGAAAGTTTCCATTCCACCATTGACTGATTCCGAGTCAACCTGGTTTATCGGAATTTCTATTAAGAATGCTACAGGTGAAACGAAAGAAGATGCGACAAAGAATGTGACTTTAACTCTGAAAAGTTCATTTGATTATTCTTACTTTTGTCCTATATTTGTTTGGGTCACGTTGTCCGCAGTCTTAGGTTCATTGGTGGCGTATGGCGGCTTTCACTGCTTTCCGATTACGTACACCGCTACCGAAAGTCAGTCAGACCAGGATGTTGATTCCTCGACTACAGACACTGATCCTCTTTCATCCAGGGGAGAGAACATTCAACTACTAGACAGTCTGCCTCACCCACCTCAATCCAGCAGCACTGCAGAAAATAAAGGACCAAATTATGGAGCGACTGCTGTCTCAGTTGAAGTAAAGACACCCACGCAAGATGATGAACGAGCAGAGTTACTTCAAAACACTCAAGAAAGTTTCCGACAAGCAAGTCAGACAGGTAACTCTTATACTCACCCGAGAGAAGTAAGGATAATGGGAAGATGCTATGAAGTTGTGAAGAACTGGTTTAAACGTGGTCCTAAAACATACTCGTACATTACTGGTATCGTGGGGTGCGTGTTGATGATTGGTGCAGGCCAGTTTGTTTTCGCTAACTGGCGTTTAATGATAGAGGAAGGAGATAAGGACACTTGTTTTTACAATGACTTTTGTTATAGAGTCAGCCCCTGGGATGATATTCCAATGAATTTAATGATTAGTAACTTAGCATATATGATCCATGGCCTTATTCTTGCTATTTCTGTCATGTTGATGGAATCAAAGCTATTTTCTCATCATAGAAATCGTAATAGTTTACCTCCAAGGTATGCTTTTTCCATGGGTTATGCTTTTGCATGGGCTTTATTTTTTGAAGGTTGCTTTTCCTTTGTCTACCATCTCTGTCCAAGTAAGTTAACGTTTCAGTTTGATACAGGGTTTATGTTCGTGATTGTAGGATTGGTTGTTGTTTTGTTGTACAATGGAATTGAAATGAAGGAGAATGAGGGAGAGAGAGGGTTTGTCGATGCAGCCAATTTCTTCCTATATTTCCTGGTACCATTATACATTTTTAACTATTTTGGCACACTGAATCATTCAGAAACTGGGCTTTTTAATATTTCGACTTTTTTTGCTTTTGTTATAATATGGTGGATTGCAATTTCTATCTGGACGGGTTGGAAACTGTTTCCAGACGGCAGCTTTACATTGACGTACATCTGGGACAAGAAGAATAGATGTAAGTGTGGCTGGTTCTTTTTAGGTTTTGTCGCGCCGCTCATTTTCTGTGAGAGTTTTTTAAACAATATTCCTCAAGCTTTCTTGTTTACCTGTATTGCAGAAAGTTTCATTGTTATTATCGGGAATGTTATGTGCAAGTGGGAAAAAATCAAATCGACAGGAACTAACTGCGTAAAATGTTTCCAAGTTTTTTATTGCTTGTGTACGATTATTTTGTGGATTCTGGCTGGTTATGTTTTCGACAAAAAACCAACAACAGATAAGGCATTAACCCCTGAAAAATCAAGAGATTACAATCAAGACTGTATCTTTTTGAAGTTTTATGATTACCATGACCTATGGCATATTTTTTCATCCCATGCTCTTCTCATGACAGCGTACCTTGTCATGTTTATTAGTCAAAAGAGGGGTTGAACAATTACAGCGGTCAAACGTTGGTCATGCGCAGAGGGATCAATTCTTGCCGGCCGCGCGCCAATTTCCCGCGCAAAATTTGAAAGGAAGCATAAGAAAACTACCGCTTTCCCGCGAGGGTTGCGTTAAGGTGGCTCGACTGGATTTTTTTGGGGGGATACCTCCCAAGTTTGAGCATTAACTACGTCGCCATGAGTAAAGATATGGGAAAAAGATTACCACAACTGTATTATGTAAAGATGAAAATTTCTTTAGATCTTATTCATCTTTGTGTTTCTCTGTACCAAGAGTTTTTTTTAAGAAATCGCTTAAGGGAGTTTGTACCTTCCATGATTGCCTCAATTATGGCAAAGTTTGAACAAATTCTATGAGAGCGTTTTCGAGATATTTTGAAACGAAGTTTTAAGCATCATAAAAACGGTGAAATAGCATGCTATCCACTCAATTAGCTAAATTTTTAAGAAAATGATAAGCTTTGAAAACGCGGCTTCATCTCATAGTGGTTTGATTCCATTGAAAACTGCGTACAGAAAAAAGAGGAGAATTGCTCCGGGCGATCGCGAGTAAGAAGAATTTTAGTAACTTGCATTCAGGTGCTTTTGTTACAGTTTTTTGCACGTTATTTGGTCCATGCCTACAATTTTCGCATTTTTCAAAAAACCGCTGGATAAATTTTTTTATAAATTTTGCAATCCCGAGATCAATCGTCTATAAATATACCCTGCAAGTTTTAAGAACATTGAAAACAGAGAAGGCTTTTAAATAGCGCCTCGAATATAACTAATTTCCCCCCTAGATTTTGTGTTTACAAGTGAGCGTCCTCATTATTCACTGGCATTGTTTCCAAGTTTCATATGCACGTGCCCATTTAGCAAAAAGATAAAAATTTGCTTAAAACTTCGTTTCAAAATATCTCGAAAACGCTCTCTTAGAATTTGTTCAAACTTTGCCATAATTGAGGCAATTATGGCAGGTACAAACTCCTTTAAGCGATTTCTTAAAAAAACTCTTGGTACAGAGAAACAAAAAGATAAATAAAAAACGTAATGGCGTCGTTACGTTGCCATGGCGACTCCGATTGCAATAAAACCCAGATCAAAAGAAATTTTCATCTTTACATAATACAGTTGTGGTAATCTTTTTCCCATATCTTTACTCGTGGCGATGTAGTTAATGCTCAAACTCGGGAGGTATCCCCCCCAAAAAAATCCAGTCGAGCCACCTTAAGAGATTGAAATCTGCAAAAGGAAAAAAGAATACAGAAAGAAAAAGGCCATTTATATAAGGGTATTTCTTGATTTACCATTTTGTTTTGAACTTTACCAAAAAAGTTCCATGGTTTTCAAACACTGGCTTGTGTGGTTGTTTATAACTTTTGTAAGACAACTTGGTTCCGACAGCATGAAAGCATGCCACCTTGCCATTATGATGTTTGCACATGCCCAGACGTTTGTGCGCGGTATGGTTGAAAATGACCCGGAAATGTAATCAAAAGTAAAAACAAAGGTTGTAAAACTGCAAATGAAATTCTTTGTTCAGGAGGCAACCAAAATATTACCGTTTTGCATGGAGGTGTTTACAATCGCAAACTATGAAATGTAGATTTTGACACCGTCCCAGTTGGTAAACTGAAGGGTTTTAAATTTGAAAGAGCTTGGACGACACAATCAGTCGCTGTCTGAGAGATAGCAAACTGGCTTGTTTCTTTCAATGTCAAATATCCACAATGTTTACGGGGTACTCATGTAAAACAGGTGTGCATTTCCGTTCATGTGTTGTATAAAAGTTGTCTCTAAAAGTTTTCCCTCAATAGCATTTTGAAATAATGTTTAGGTTCAAGTTAGGCCTGTAGTAATAATGGCTTAGTGAAATGTTGTCATTTCTTCTGATTGGCCGTTGTAATTACATTTCTTTTGGTTTTACGACACTCATTTGAAAAGCGCTCTAATAGTGTTACGTGTACTTACATAATGAGATACTGATTTATCCTAAAAGCTCCGCTTCAGAGGGGAAAGATGCTGTCGGCACAATTGATGTTTTGTGTGATTTTTTATTTTAGTCTTTTGTCCCTAACTGCTCGACGGATTCGTACTTTTGAAAAGCGGAAAGCCATTTTAAGCTGGCTTTTAAATTCTGTATCCGAACATAGTTATCGACTGGAAAAGTGTTTGTTCGCTATCTTTTCGCACGACATTAAACCGTACTGTCTTTACAAACTGTTTCGTTTCGGCATGGCTGATTCGCCGACCTGTGCTTTCTGCCAAACAGAGGTTGAATCCATAGAGCATTTACTCTTTTCCTATTAAGTATCATCTAATTTTTGGAAACATGCCTTGCCCTGTGTGCGTGATTATAACATCTTTGTTGAAAACAGTAAGAAGATGTCATTTTTGGAAAGTTCGATGTTGCAGAAGATTTTCTATTGTTTAATCATATTTTGCTTTTGTGTAAGTTTTATATTTACTCTCAAGAAATGCCAGAATGGTATACCAGGACAAGGCGAATTTATAATATCGAACTCCATATTGCCAGGAAAAGAGACAAATTAAACAATCATTTTAAAAAGTGGGAAAAGTTAGTTAGCTTTTTTTCCGATAGGTGATATAACGATCAATCTTCATAATTAGTCTAAATACAAATAGGTACCTGTATTGTTGTAAATAGCTTTTGTGTGCGTTTAGCTATCTATTGATCTATTTTTACTATGAAAGCTTCACTTTTTTTGTGCCTTTCGATATTCTTAGATAAAAAAAATAAAAAAAAAAATATTGGAAGGTGTGGAGTATTTATGTTAAGATCGAGAGTTTAAATGGTTTAACATTAAATATTATTGCCAACGAGCAGCCTCTCGAAGACGCGAGGCTGCGAGGCGGCAGCCTATAATAAAGCCGTGCGCGAAAGTTCCAAGGCAGAATGAATCTCCTGATCGCAGGTTAAATGAATCTCGAATCAATGTAACAAAAAGTAGTGTAAGGTATTAATGTAAGGTAACTTTTATGACGTAATGAAGAACACAGAATGCATTGTTTTCGAGCGAACACGTGATACAGAACCAGAGAATCCACGATCCGTGTGCGTGTTTGTGAGTTCCGTGCTAATCCCGTCTTTAATCAGTCGGCGGGTGGATTCATTTGCATCATTTGCATCATACGCGTATAGCTGTTGCATTTGCTCGCTGGAATGTTTTATTGCCTACCGTTTAAGGTTCGGAAAAACTGGCAACAAAAAACTGCAACTTGTTTTGCAAAATTGCTGCAAAACGAGTTGAATAGCGATGTTGGGCGTTTTACTACCCACATCAAACTTGTCATGCAACAAATCAGGTTGAACAGGTTTGAACGTGGGTGGTAAAAGCGCGACATACTCGTTTTGCAGCAGTGTTGCAAAACATTGACCCCCTTCCCGGCCCCCGCCCCGACTTCGACCCCTCTTTTTACTGACACCCAGTTCAAACTATTTTTCGTAAGTTACGGTAATCGTGACATTTCTAAACTAAATTGAACAGCGCTCGTGTATAAGTAAAATCTTTGCTCGTTAGCACCTAGCGATAGCTATAACTAGTATTATCATATCCATGTGTGAACGTCCTTCGGACTTGTTAACTAACTGCTTCATAGCTTATTGTGATTGGGTGGTACGTAAGAGTCGGAGCACGATCTGATAATCAAGGAGAAGTTACGAAAAAGTGCAGTAAATTCACCTTCCTTCTCACAGTTTTTTCCCTTTTTTGCGATTTATAATACGTCTTAGGTACTTTACTGAAATTTCCGTTTTCATTGTTGTTTTTTAATTTGTTCAACCCTAGGGGAAAAAGTTCACAGTTGGTGATTAACGCACATGTCACCAGCTTGCCCCTGAAGTAGACCCACCGGCCAACCAGGAGGATTGCAAAATGGGTTGAGCAAAGTTGAGGATTTCCTCCAGGGGTGGGGGAATTTAATAAGACAAAGTCCCCCGGGTCAAGTACTTCTCAACGAAAAATCCCCCTGATATTCACCTCACATAACTCGGGTTCACTTGACGGAGGGGGCGCTTTTATCAGTGATGTTTTTATCTTTTCGTGTTAAGCTTGGAGAAGAAATATAATATATCTATTGAACAAAAATCACTACAATGAAAGAACATCTGAAGACAGATTCACCGAGGTTAGTACCGACTGATTCACTGAGGTTAGGAGAGACTGACAGTTTTTCCATAGACTACTTAAGATGACCTGAAATAATCTACCTAATGATGCTCAAAAATTACAGTTATTCATAGTATTTCATTTACGTATTAATTTTAAATATCGGCGACATCATTATCCTTTTTCTCCAATAGGAACAGGAACACAGTACTTTTACATGAGATATCCAGAGTATAACCAAGCCGCAAAGCTCGGTTGCCAAATTTATTATGCTGGGTACGTCTTATCGCTAATGTTTCTGCGATTTGTCATGAGAAATCAGTAGACTGTCATGTCATGTATGCTCTTGAACTGTGGAGCACTTGATTACCATTCAACTTCCTCTCGGACGCCATTTTGGGACGTTTTATTTTGAATGATCTTGAATCACATTCCTAGTCCTCAAGAGAGACATCTCCTCTCCAGGCCTCTCTCTCTATTCGTGTATATGCACAGAGATGGGTAAAAGCTAGCTCGTATTCTTCCTTTCGCGCCGCTTGATGCTACCCATAATAATGGTTTAAGGAAAGACGGACAAATCCCCGTTACATCCCCGTGGTTACCGTCTGCTATTTTACAAAATTTGCAATTTCCCCACCCTCTTCCCTCCCCAGGGGTAGAGAATCCAATCCATCCCCTTGTATTCCCAGACATATTCTCCTGGTTGGCCCGGGGTTCTACCCCTGGGGCAGGCCGATGACATGTGCCATAAGAATTTACCAAACAATCAAGGCCGCGAAAAATCTACATGTGACAAATTTTTTCGCTACAAAACAACACGTTAATCCTGCTTTGTCTCTGAATTTAATGGTATTGACTCTTGGAATTTAGCTTG